GCAGAAGCAACAGCAGCATCGTCGTCGTCATCATCATCACCATCATCATCGTCATCATCACCATCATCATCAGCATCATCACCATCAGCATTATCACCACCATCACCATCAGCATTACCATCATCATCATCACCATTACCATCACTATCACCGTCACAATCGTCCTCATCATCAGCATTCTAGCCATCATCACCACAATCATGATCATCATCAGCATCATCATCATCATCAGCATCATCATCATCATCAGCATCATCATCACCACCATCATCATCACCATCACCATCACCATCATCATCACCATCACCATCACCATCACCATCACCATCATCGCTTCCTGCCCCCCCAAGGCGGCGTGACGCTCGGCGTGGGCGCCCGCGCCCTGCGACGCGTGACGAGGACGCTGCTGGAGGACCCGCTGGCCCGCCTGCTGCTCGAGCACCGCGCCGATCCCGGGGCCGGGGCCGGGGCGTGGGCGGTGGTGGCCGACGTCGGCGCAGACGGGGCGGCCGTGGCCGCTCTCGTCGACGAGGGAAAAGCTGCGTGCGTGCGTGCCACCTCTGCCCCCCCCCCTCTCTCCTCCCCCCATCTCTTCTCCCTCCCTCTCATGGGGCCGGCGCGGGGGCAGTGGTGGCCGACGTCGGCGCAGACGGGGCGGCCGTGGTCGCTCGTGTCGGCGCAGGAAGCGCTATGCGTGTGTGCCCCCTCCAGTTCCATCGGTATAGTTCACGGCCGCCTCCGCCAGCATTTTGCTGCTCTCCTCTGCGCCTGGCTGGGAGCTCCCTGGGCGCCGGGTGTGCCCGCCGTCGTGCACGCCCCTTCTCCTCTGCACGCGCAACCGCTCGGCAGCTGCCTCCCGTCGACAAGGCTCGGTGGTAATGACCTCTAGCTCGTCCCGCTCCTCGCCTCGCTGAGCTGGACAAGCCAGCCGCGAAATTCAAAGCGTGTGTGTGTGTGTGTGCCCTCTCTTCGGCTGCACGTAAGGATGACCTTGCGCCGGAGTGACCTTTGGTGCGGGCTCACAGGAGGCCCCCAGCATTGGCCTGCGCGCTGGGATTTGGACTACCCGCGGCCCCCCAACGCCCCGATGTCCCACCTCCTTCCTCTCCTGATCCGCTGCCCTATGAGCTCAGGTGTTCGCACTGAGATCCTCTCCGCCTCGGAAGGGAAGCCCTCCATCGTCTGTAGCCTACCGATCCCGGGCCAGGTTGGCCCTCTGATCCTTCCCTCCCTCGCACAAAGTCGGCATCAGCATGAGCTGTCGGAGGCTTACGTGGACTTCTTGGATCGGCGCTGGACCCCCCCCGGCAGCACCTGCTGCGCCGCCTCTTTTGTTTCCCTGTGCTCATGGCGAAGGCGAAACTGAAACAACTTGGTGACTGGATGCTCGCCCGAGATGGCCACGCCCACTCCAGCGAAAGCCCGAACGACGAACTCGTTGTGGGGTGTGCAGATGCTGGTGTCCAGCACGTACGCGTGTACTCCTGCGCCCCAGCCCCGAACCGCGGTCGCATGGACGTATTGGATGCCCCATGGGTGCAGGGAGGCGCGAAGGTAGCAACACTTCGCGCGTCGCGGTCGGGGCTGGAGGGACGCCCTTCTGCAGGGTGGCGACGCGGCGGCGCGAAGATAGCCACGCCTCGCGCATTCGCGGGGCGCGACCAGCAAATTTGGGCGACCTACTCGCCCTCCGCTTCCTCCACTTCCTCCTGCTCGCCGTCCTCTTCGCCCTGCTCGCCCTTCAGCCAAGTATGCATCTTCGCCCTCCTCTTCCTCCTGCTCGCCCTGCTCCGCCCTTGCTGTTCCTCCTCCTCCTCCTCCTTCTCCTCCTCCTCCTCCTTCTCTCCGTAGCCATTTTGGCTCAAGATGATGAGTTTCTCAGGGGAACAAGTGGATACCGCTAGTCCGCGGCAGTGCCAGGGCTGTTCAGCCCGACATCTTCTCTCGAGACCTGTACGGGGAGCTGCGCGCTGCCGTCCAGAGTCCCAGTCTATCCCGCCGCCATGTCGGATCGCAGGCGTGGAGGCGGCAAGTCCCCAGCTCCAAGGATTTCCTTCTCGGCCGACTACGTGGGATGCAAGAAATGTGGATACCGTTGGACCTACAAGACCAAGCAGTCGTGCTACAGCTGTGGGCAGGCCCTGCGACCATCGTACTCTCCCGCCCCAAAGCCCCGTGGCGTCTGGGCTAGCGGCAGCAGAGGCTGGTGGCAGGACAACCACAAGGGTCAGACCGACTGGTACCACGAAGCCGAGGAGACCACGCAGAGGACCGAGCCGCTCGCGATCGGCGAGGTGGTGCAGACCCTTGGTGGGCAGGCCCTCTCCGAGGCCCAGCGGCAGGCGCTCCAGCAGCTCGAGAGCGCCTTTGCCCCGCCGGCACCTGCAGAGCGTCCCGCGCTCCTGGAGGAGGGCATCCAGCGGGCGGCCGCAGCGGAGAGGGCTGCACGTCGGGAGCTGGAAAAGCGAGCCAAGCAGCTGGCCGACGCCAAGCTCTGGCTCGACGAGTGCCAGGCCCGCTCCGATGCCGCAGCTGACGCCCTGGTGGGTGCGGAGGTCAAGCTGGCTCAGGAGAAGAAGGCTTTGGCGGCTCCAGGCAAGGACTCCCAGCCCGAGGGGACCAACAAGGGCGGCGGGGTCATCAACCTCTCTGCCCTGCTGGGCGAAGGCGAGGCCAGCTTCGTCATCGAGGACGGCCCCCTCTTCGACCTTGAGGGGTTGGACATCACGGCCGAGCAGCGGGAGCAGTTCAACAAGCTCAAGCAGACCTTCGAGGCGTCGGTGCAGCAGGCGGTCCGCACGCACTTCGGGCCAGGGGCCGACGTCCTCAAGTCCCAGCGGGAGCAGTTTGAAGAGATCAGGGTGCTCCGCGAGACCTTCAAGAAGCGCAGGCGTGAGGCCCCCCCTGCGGCGGCGGCGGCTGCAGAGGCGCCCGCGCCCCAGACCCCCGAAGGGAGCCCGTCGCAGGCACCTGCCCAGGCCATGCGCGAGGACCCTCCTGCGGAGGCGGCGGCTGCGGAGGCGCCAGCGGCCCAGAGCCCCGAGGGAGGCCCGCCGCAGGCGCCAGCCCAGCCCTCCCAGGAGGCCCAGCAGGCCGCCCAGCCCGCCGCGGAGGCGCAGGGTGCCCAGGGCGCTTCGCCAGGTGCTGCCAGCGCGGATGTTGGCCCTGACGCTGGTGGTGAAGCCGCTGGCAAGGAGCTGGCGGAGGCCTTGCAGCGCGCCAGGGCTCGCAGGGCGGAGGCAGTGGCCAAGCCAGTGCCGCTGTAGCCCGCGCGGGCTCGGCAGCTCGGCCTCCACGGCCACAGGTACCAGTACCCAATGCTCTACATGGTCGGGCTCATGGCAGGAGTCTAGCACGTCGCAGGAGTCAGATCACGGCAGAGGGTCTCCTCCTGACGCAACATCCAGTACATCTATCTCTACATGGTCAAGTTCACATAAGAGGAGCCCCCCGCGTCGTCGAGGCAACGGCGGCGCTCGCAATGTGGGGCTCGAGTTCATAGGCTTCAACTGTTCTTCTTGGGCGCAGGCTATCGATGTGCTGGACGAGGTCGCCACAAGTAAAATCGTGGGCCCCATGCACATCACGTTCTTTCAGGTGCATAAGTTGATTGCGCCCATCGCCAAGGACATAGAGGCGGCCAGCTTCAACAGGCATGCAGCAACATTGGTTCCAGCCGTCAGCGGCCCAGGCGGACGACCGTCTAGTGGAGTTGGATTTCGTGTGCCAAGGAAGGTTGTTCTTACCCTCGAAGGCATGAATACGTTTGATATCTCACCTCCTGGCTCGGCTGGGCGCGTGGCAGTGGGCTGGTGCTCTGCTGGACAGAAGGGTGGCCTCATGATTACCACGGCATATTTGTGGACGTGTGGAAGTTGGACGATTCAAAATTTGTCAATGGAGGCCATCGCTACGGTCATCAAGCAGTATGACATACCGTGGATATACCAAGCAGATTTCAACGAGATGGGGGAGTCTCGGCTCAAGACGTGGTGGTGCCAAGATGTGGGAGGAGTGGTGCGTCTCCCCTCCACTACCACGTGTGCAGGAGTCGGCGGTGGCAGTATCAGCGATTTCTTTGTGCTCGACGCCCGCCAGCATGCGTTCGGTGACGCGGTAGAAGTTTTATTTAGACTCTGCAGCCGCGCCTCATTCGCCAATCCGTCTAGTCAAGCAGTTCAGGATGCGAGCAAAAGGCGGCTGGAGGCCTGCCAAGCCTAGACCTTTCCCAATCGAGAGGCAGTGCGGACCAGTCCCGCAGCCTGCACAGTGGCCAGACTTCGATCATCAGCACGATTTAAAGGGCACCCAGCTTGATCAACTCTGGAAGCAGGTCTCTCACTGTGCTGCATGGCGGTGGGTAGCCGCACGAGCCAGTAATTTCCTCGCACAAGCTGCCCAGCAGGAGGGCACCTGGATGCATGCACGTGCGCGACGAGCAAAGCTCGAGCGCCGCATCGGAGGAGGAAGGAGTCGGCTGGTTCAGGACTTGGGGGAGGAGGCTGAGCACGTAATCGCCCAGTTTGAACGATACCGCGCCCTTTGTCTCGGGGGCCCAGCGCTCATGGAGCAGCCCCCAGAGATCATGGGTCTCCAGTGTCGCGCAGAAGCCAATGCTCAGACCATCGAACGGCACCAGGCAGCCGCACGGTCAAAAGAATGGCGAGAACGTTCAAAGAAGGAGTCGACTGCAGGCTCTTCTTTCATCCACAGGATCAGCAAGTGGCGTACTCCTCCTCTCCCCGTCGAGGGTTACTCCGTTCCCAACCTCGAGCTTGCTGATCCTCAGGAAGCGGCCGACAGGGCCGCCCAAGAGTGGTTTGACGATTGGGGCTCCCAGGGGTGCCCAGAGTGTCAGCAGCAGCGCCAGGCTGCTAGTGAATCCTATCCTGATATCATCTACCGCGCCTCCCCCTCGTGCACCTCTTCCTGTCTCTTTTCCAGGGCCCTCGTGCCTCACCCGCTGGGGGATCCCTTCCTGGACGTCGCGCCCAGCATGGAGACCCTGGACCCAGAGTACGGGGACGATCCCCTTCTCTCAGGCCTGGCCTACTCGGATGGGTCGGGGGTCGGGGCTTCTGGGTCGAAGTCGTTCGGAGGGGGCCTCTGTTTTGTCGACCAGCATGGAAATATACGCAAAGCAATGCATGGCACGGTTTCAGGAGTTAGGCAGGCACAAATTGTGCTTAGAGCAGAATTGCACGGTTTCCTGAATGTTCTTCGGCATGTCGCTGCCCCTCTACAGGTGGGGATCGACAATTCTACCGTCGTTCGGGGCCTCATGCGAGGCTCAGTCTTGTGCCGCCCAGCCAGACGACCGCATACCGATTTATGGCATAGAATTTGGAATGCGATTGAAGATTCGTTCGTTGGGGAGGGTGACCTCGTCGTCGTCAAAGTCGAAGCGCATTCCAAGAAGGTCCGTGCCCAACAGCTCGAGGGACTCGAGCTGAGCAAGTACCTAGGGAATCAGAGCGCCGACCTTCAAGCGAAGGACGGCGCCAAGCTAGACGCCATCCCGCCGCATATCAGAGACACGTGGGTGGCCAGATTTAAGGAGGTTTGTGCTGTCTTCGGGCTTGTCGGAGATATGACCTGTAAGATAGGCACAATTGATGACACCGCAGGCCGTCACCAGAGCGCCTCCCAGCCCCCTGGCCCTCGGCCGCGCCGTTCGGTTTTGCCTCCTCCCGAGTCTCGGCACGTCCTGGAGGTGGACAGGGGGTCCTGGAGGTGTGCATGGTGTGCCAGACGGGCCCACTGCCACAAGGCCAAGCTGGTGCTGTCGCGTAAGTTTTGCAGGGAGGGTTTCTCCTCGCACGCCAAGTGGAAGAAGATAGCGAGTGTCGACGGGGCTCCTTTGGAGGGGCCAAGGCGACACATGCTGTATCGAATTGGCCACCACACCTCTTGTCGAGAGTGCGGCGCCTGTTTGAGCGCCAGGGCTTGTGGGTTACTTACAGGTGGTCCTAAGGACCCGAGGGACCACAAAGCCATGACTCGGCGTAATCGTTTGCTGGCAGGTAAGCACCCTTATAAACATGACAGACTGCCTGGAGAGGTGGTCGCGTTGACCAGAACCCAGGAATTGGAGTTTCTGGAATCGATTGGGAATGCTGCCAGGGCCTCCGCCGCGGGAAGTGGCGTGGAGGCACAAATTTCCTCCGCCGCCTCAGGCGGCGCGGAGGACTAACCAGGCCTGACGCAGGTGGACGCGAGGTGCTCGCCCACGCTGTGCTCGCGGGGGAAAAAAAAATCCTCCATCTCTCTACGCTCTCCTCCTCCTCCTCCCCCTTCTCCTCCTCCTCCTCCTCCATCCTCCTCCTCCTCCATTCTCCTCCTCCTCCTCCTCCTCCTTATCCTCCTCCTCCTCCTCCTCCTCCTCCTCCACCTCCTCTTCCCGCAGGGCCCGACGGTCTGTGGGTCATGACCGATGGCATGCACACCGTCGTTGGGGTGCTCGCCTGGCCCGAGCGCTTCTGCCACATGCGGCACCTCGTGATGTTGAATCTGCCGTGCCACCAGACCTCCCACCAGCTTGGCGGAGGCGCTGCGCGGGAGCAGACACGGCTTTGCCGTTGGCATCGCTTGTCGCATGAGGAAGGCACGACGTGCGTCTTGTGGGATGCATCTCATGTGTGGGGGGGCATTTGCTTGATGCTGCGAATGTCTGGATGTTCATGCTTCCGATCTCTGATCGGCCGACGCATGCTCGGGGGTGTAGTGTTGCTGTGGGGCGCTCGCTCGTTCAGGTGAAGAGGGATCACGTTCTTGGGGCCAAGAGGGTGATAGACCTTGTTCGGTACCCAGCTAGTGTGACTGCTCGTTGGCCCAAACATCGCAACTCAACGCGCCGTCTCACATGTACAATCACAAGACTGCTCACCGCTCGGGCTCCGCCGCCTGTCCAAACGGCGGTCGTACATCGGGCGCGATGGTAGCCCCGCGGAGACTGCGAGTGCCGAGCACTCTGCGCTATCGGTTGCGCAATGGTTGCGAAAGCGGTTGCGCTATCCACACGGAGTTGCGCCATGGGTTCCGCAAGTGGTTGCGCCATCCATGAGTTGCGCCATCGGTTGCGCCGTGCACCACTGGCTGCGGTGTATGTTGCGCTACTGGTTGCGCCAGAGCTTGCGCCGGCCGAAAGCAAAGCGGCATGCCGTGGGTTGCGCCAAAGGTTGCGCACCTTGTGGCTGAAAGTAAAGCTGCCTGTCATATCTTGCGCTGCAGCTTGCGCATGCGGCGGCCGGGAATGAAATGGCCCGCTATTGGTTGCGCTGTAGGTGGCGCACTCTGTGCCTGGAGTGACACGGCCTGCTAACGGGCGCGACCAGTCAGGCAAACGCCATGAAGGCAAGTCAGCCATTTCCGTAGATGTTGGCTCAAATATACCAAGACAAATCAGCTTTCGGGGACCCCCCCTACTGACGCAGGCAAGCGCCTTGAACAGAAGTCGGCCATTTCCGTAGAGATTGGCTCAAACATATCGGGAAAATCAGCACTCGGGGACCCCCCCTCTACTGACGCTTTCGGAGCGTCCATCGCGAGTCTGCAGGCATCAAGGTGCCTCATACCAGGATCGTTGTCACCTTGTCCAGCCCAGGAGATACGAGCGGGTCCGTGTTGTCTGCCAGCTTGTCTCAGCCCCTGCGGGTGGCTCCTTGCTCTCCGCGCCCATGGCGCTGCCATTCGCCCTGTTCCGCAGCGGGACGTCGCGTGGCCCATACGTGCGACTGGACCGCCTGCTCGGCTCTCCCGCCGCCCGCGACGCCGCCGTGGCAGCCCTGATCGGGAGCGGCACCCCCAACCATGTGGGCGGCCTGGGCGGCAATACGGCGGTCACCTGCAAAGCCTGCCTGGTGGGGCCCCCGGAGGCGGCGCCGCCGTCGCGAGAGCGACCGGACCACGACGTGCGCTACCTGTTCCGCCAGGTGAGCGGCGGAAGGAAAGGGGGGCCGACTGCGCAGACATTGGCGCGCGGGCGGCCCGCGCAAGCTCGACCAAAGAGCAAGCGGCACCACCCCCACCTATAGAGCCCTTCCTGCTGCGCTTCGGCCCATCTGTGGGCCGTGGCGTGTACCACGCAAAAAGCCCACGCCAGATGTCCTGGCACACCCCACGCCCCGTGGGGCCTTCGCATGTTTTCTGGTCCATGAGCCGCGGCGTCAGGTCGCCACGCCATCTCGCGCTTTGCCCGTGTCGTTTCGCCGCTCAGGTGCGGGTCGCCGAGCCCTCGGTGGACGCGTCGCACGGGGACTGCGGCAACATGATCGCGGCCGTGGGCGCCTTCGCGCTCGAGGAGGGCCTGGTTGCGGGGGCGGCCTCTGCCAGGGTCCTCTCGGGCGCGGAGGCGGCGGAGGCCGTCGCGGCCGCAGAGGACATGGAGCCCACCTCGCGGGCGGTGGTGGTGCTGTCGGAGAGCACGGGCGTGCGCTTCGAGATCGTCGTTCCCTTGCTGAGGCTGCCGCACGGGCTAGATCGGAGAAGAGACCTCGGCACAAGCAGTCCGGTCGGTCGTTGAAAGCAGGTATCTTGGGATGCCCGAGTCCCAATCTGCTTTGGTCGCCTTCCTGCTTCGAGGGCCGAGCGCTGTTCCCTCTTCCCTCCTCTTCGGGGGGCGGGCGGAAGCCCAACCCGCTTCCAACGCCTTCCTGCTTCATGTCTCTGCCCACTTCTTCCGACCGGCGGTTATGCCTGTGCCGATTGTTTCTTCCCCTGACGGAGGCCGTGGACTACCGCGGCCTGAGGCATCCCAGGGTGCACGTGGACGGGCTGCCCGGCTCGGCGGCCGGCGTGGCGGTCAAGTCCCAGCGCCCCCAGGGCGGGACGCTGGGCCGTCTGCTCCCGACGGGCAGAGCGATCGACGACCTCGGGGAGGTGCGCGCCAGCTGCGTGGACTGCTCGCGGCCGCTGGTCATCGTGGACCGGGCCGAAATCCTGGAGGAAGAAGCCACGGCAAAGACAGAACCTGTCGCAGCTCCGCGCGGATTCCTTGCATCGGCCCTGGGGTCCCCCTGGCGGCGCCGCCCCGGGCGAGCCTCCGCACGCCGCGGAGGGGGGCATGGCGCCGATCTCCAAGAACTCCGCGCGGAGCTCCGAAAGTTTGGGTTTCTGCCCCTTTCCTTCTTCCTCCGCATCCAGGCACTGGCGCCGGTGCCCGACTGGTCGCCTGCGGGCATCACCGCGAACCGCGGGCTGTTGGACGCGCTGGAGCGCGTGCGCCTCGCGGCCGCGGAGCGCATGGGCATGGGCGATGCGCGGGGCAGGGTCTCGCCGAAGATCTGCGTCGTGGGCAGGGGGTTTGGCGCTGAGGATAGAAGCAGACAAAAACGCCCCAAGCGTAAGCTTTGGGCGCTCCGAGCGGATTTATTGGATCCGCGCTGGGCCCCCCCCAAGCGGCGCCTCGGGCGCCGCCCCTGGCGCGCTCCGCGCGCCAGGGAGGGGGGTCCGGCGCAGATCCAAGAAATCCGCGCGAAGCGCCAAAAGTGTATGTTTGTGGCGTTTACTCTTCTTCTGGAGGAGCACCCCGCCGCCGCCCTGGAGGTGCGCTACCTCGTCTCCGCCGGCTCCGGCGGCGAAGCGCACCCGAGCCTGGTGATGACGGCGGGCCAGGCACTCGCCGTGGCGTGTCTCCTCGAGGGCACGGTGGCGGCGCGGCACTTCGAGGGGGGCAGGGCCGCCGTGAGCGTGGACCCTGGCTCCGGGGAGGTGGAGTGGAGCATGGGCATCTCGGGGGTTGCCTGCAGCGGTCCCTGGCCCACAGCGTGCCCCCCAGATTTTCGCTCCGCCCTCGGCCCTCGCAGGTCCTCGTGAGGGATATGCTCGGGAAGCCTTTTTGGGGCCTGCTTGGAATCGAGGAAGGAAGCACTGCATAAACATGGCAATTTTCGGAGGTCCGCGCGGATTTCTCGGATCGGTGCTGGAACCCCCTGGCGGCGCCCCCGGCGTTGCCCTTGGCGCGCTCCGCGCGCCAGAGAGGGGGGTTCCAACGCCGATCCAAGAACTCCGCGCGGACCTCCCCCAAAGTTTATGTTTGTGTGTTTTGTTGGTCCTCGATGCGTTATCCCACTTCTCCGCACTCCTCTCACCTTCTCTTAACTCTTGCTCCCTCCTCCGAACTCGTCCCAACTCCCACCAGGGCGTCCCTGGGAGCTCGACTAGCCCGGCGTTTGTTCGCTTTGCCGGGCTCCATGGAACTCTTGGGGGCACCTCGAGCCAGGGACGCTCCTGGCAACACCCGGGCATCGCGCACCCGCTCGGCGTCGCACGGTTCACGGTGAATCTGCTCGAGGGCGGGCAGACGCTGGGGCCGGGCGCCGATGGGGGCGCGGACGCCGAGCGGCGGATCCGGGCAACCGGGTACGTGACAACCGTGGCGCCGATTTGCCGCGGTGTGGCATTCGTGGATCAGACTGCATCTTGAGTCTCGCGGTGCCGAAAAATCCAAACGGACAGACTCCCTTATGTAGCCTATTGTGTAGGATCGGCCCCGGTCTTGCGCTTAGCTTCTCTATGAGCCAGTCTTGGAAGCCCAAGACGGTCCTGTGAGCCCCCCAAGAGGATCCCAAGAAGCTCCCAGGAGGCTTCAGGATAGCACCAGGTTTCCCAGATGACACCAAGAGCCTCGGACGGCCTGAGAGAGCTCAAAGAGACCCCGATGCCCCGAGACCAAACATAGACATAGATGTCCGAGAGGGCCCAGAGATGGCCTAGAAACATCGAAGCACATTGTTGTTCAATCTGTTCGCACGGCATAACCCATGAGGAAGAATACCTGAAAGTGTGCAGCACCCCAGCTCCATTCCAGTACCCGCTAGGCTAGTGCCCAACTGAAGAGCTCGTGCTGGTGTGATCGAGGGTAGGAGTGCTCACAAAACACACTCATCGCTTGTTCAGTTCCAGCACGCGTTGCATAAGGATTTTGAGAAATCGGGCGTGATCAAAAAAGCAACGCTCAATTCAGGGAGTTGTAGCAGCCGCGGCCATGCCTTGGTGCAGCTGCCCTCGGCGACAGGGCCGCACGCAGCTGCACCGGTCTGCACTTCTCTCGCCGCTCCGGGACACCTCGCGGGTGATGGCAGGTTTGTGCGGAGAGTTTGGGCAGTCCATCAGGTAGCACTCGGCGATCAGTTAGCGCTTCGCTCAGTGAAGTGACGGCCATGCCGCCCACCTTCCCTCTCAGGGAAGGAAGGGGTCCTGATAATGATGCGCGCCTAGGTTTCCGAGGTTTCCAGGACTTCCCCAGATTCCCCACTGTTCCACACGGGCTTCAGAAACGAGGGCCGCTGGACACGCTGGAAATCCTGAGACGTTTCCTGAGCCAACACTATCATGACGTCATCGTCGTCCAACTCTCTCCTCCCTTCGCCCCCTGCTCCCCCACCCCTTGTGGCCTTCGCTCTGGCCAGGCTGAGTTCCTTGTGCCTGGGTTCCTGGCCCCCTGACTGCTCTCGACCACCACTCCTGGCAGTACATGTTCGGACCTTCTGGAGAAACCGAAGATGTTGCTCAATATGCTCCGCTCCTTGGGGGTTCTCCTGGTGCGTTCGCTCTTGTGAAAAATCCAGGGTCATCCCTCGCCTGGGTGATCCCCGGCTCGTTTATTTATTTCCAATTGGCTTTGGGAAAGGATCAGAGCATGCGGCATCTCCAATCGGGTTGGATCGAATTCTTTAGGTGCGTTGGCCGTTGTGCATTGTCGTCTCTCTTGCTGCTGACTACGAACGTAAACACTACAAGGCAAAGGATTGATAGGATGCACCAAGTGGGGCATGGCATATGACAGGAACTGTGTTTGAGGCATTGACGAAACATGTAATCGCCATTGGTGCATGAACAGTTTGTTGTATTTGGTCTTGGTGCTCACGCGGGTACTCGTTTCCATGCGATTGCCTTACAGCTGCCGTCAGAAGACAGTTAGTCGTACTGCTTCGGTCATTCTGCTTCGCATATTCTCGATGTAAAGCCAACGTGCCGATGCACAGATCGGATTGTTCTGGCTTGCCACGCAGCCGCGCCAGCTTTGCTTCGCCGAGCGGGAGCTGGGTGCAGCCGCCGATGCCTGCATCCCGAGCGGGGCCAGGAAGCAGCCAGCGCGTCCGCGGGCAAGCTGTCTGTCTCACCCCCTTCCTCTTCCCTTGTGGTTATTGTCCGCGCCCTCTCTCGCCGGACCTCCTCTCCCCCGTGAATGTCGCGTGCCCGCGCCCGGTGCCCAGCCAGAAACAGCCGGGGTGCGGTGCAAGGGGTTCGTGCTTCCCAGGGGTAGTCTGCGTGCAGGTGCGCGCGCGTTTGCGTTTGGTCTTCTTGCCCATAGTGTCGTACGCCGTCGGGGTGCAATTATTAGACCGACGAAGAGAAATGAGGTTTCTGCCTCGAGCGGAATCGCCAGAGCCATCGTCGCAGCCCTGCTGTGAGTGGCGCGGCGGGGGCGGGACACCCAGCAGGGACAAGGCGCCAGAGCACCAGGAAGCTGAACACATACGGTTGAGAGAAGAAATTAAGCCACCTTTCCCCCCTCCCCCGCAATTCAAAGTTGGCACGTGCCTTGAAGACCACTCGGAGGCTCGAAATCGGAAGATCCGAAGCCAACATTGCATTGTGGGGGGAGGGGGGGGGGAACTCAAACCGTATGATCTGCACGAGTGTTGCTTCATTGTTTCCGGCACCTGCATGGCGTGGCCGGCCTGAGCAAGAGCTGCAAATGCATGCGGCCGCGCGCCGCTCCGGCTTTCGGCCCTCGTCCTGCCCGGCACGGTGCTCCTCCACCTGTGTGTCTGGCCAGCGGGTGTGGTCTCCGCACGCGCTGGACGCGACTCTGGCCACGGGTGCTTGCGGCCTCCTGGCCGTGGGCGCAGCTTCGGCGGTCGCTGCCGAGAGCCCTGGCCAGGGACGGAGGGGCCCCGGGGGGGGCAGAGCCGGAGGGGGCCCCGCGAGGCGCCGCCGCCTCCAGCTCCGCGGACAAGGCGAGCAGCACGCGGGAGCCGACACTGGCGCGGTCCGCATGGTGGCCACGGCGCTGTGCAGGGCGACGGCTCCCCTGTTGGGCCGCCCTGTTGGGCCCAAGGCGGGGGGATGGCGTGCGGGGAGGTCGCGCGGGGGGTGCAGGGCTCCAGGCCTCCCAGATGGGGTCCGAGCAGATGGCGTCGGAGGATCGCACCGCATCGCCGATGCATCGGCGGTGCGGCGCGATGTGGAGCCCGATTTTCTCCGCGCCGACGTCGGCGATGCGGCGCGATCCTCTGGTTCCATCTGCGTGCTCGGACCCCGTTTCGGGAGGCCTCCAGAGGCGGGGATCGGGAGGAGGCCACGAGGGATGGGCAAGGGAAGGGTGCCTTTGAACACACTGGTACCGACTTCTTGCAGTCGTTTTTTTCTGATGCATGGGGCGTTCCAGAGCAAAGGCCTTGCCTTCAGCACGACTCGCCTTCGGCGAAAGGCCGGCGGAGGTACAAAACGTTGGTGGGTCCGCTAGCGGAAGCTCGACGGAAGGCGGCGGAAGTAAAAGCGATGGGTCCACTTGTCAGAACCTGAGTCTTCAAGGGCCGGGCCAGAAACGTGGATATATTCGAGGTCGCGGAGTAGCAGTGTCACTTCTCCAGCACGACAGTTGTGCCTCCGTCGGATTATTGCGCGAAAGCACGTGGAGAATCTTCGTAGCTAGTTAGGCAGTAGAGCGGTTCGAGGGTTTTGTCCGCGAGTTGTCAAGAAGGCTCTACGTAGGTCCTCACCAGGCAGCATCGGTGGGCACATTTCGGCGCGACTCGCCTTCGGCGGAGGGGCCGGCGGAGGTAAGAAACGGCGGTGGGTCCGCCAGCGGAAGCTCGATGGAAGGCGGCGGAAGAACAAGCGATGAGTCAACAATTGTTGGCCCAGAGTTTGCAAGGGCTGGGGCAGAGATGGGGAGATATTCGAGATCGCGGAGTAGCAGGAGGGGACAAACGCACACAGACACAAGTAATCGTCGATCCCCAGGGAAAGATGGGAAAATATGGGAAGTGGGGGGGAAGACGAAAACCGAGAAAATATATGAAAATATTGAGAATCCTGGGATTTGTGTGTATATATTTGTGTCCCTGGGCCCCTTCAGAGCAGCAGTGCCACTTCTCCAGCACGACCCGTATGCCCTTGTCAGATTATCGCGCAACAGTTCTCCAGAGGACGCTAGCGGTCCGAAGTTTCACGCGCTGGTGATTCAAAGTGCGGCACGCTGTTCGTGTGTTTCTTTCGCCGTGGATGGCCATGGAGAACACTCGTAGCTTGATTTCGCATTTTTGCGCCAGTTGGCAGCAGTTGATGAACGTCGCTGGAAGGGAAACAAGGAAGGCGAGAGGGCAGGGTGGATGAGTAGAAACAAGAGGGAGGGGAGGGGAGGGGGGAGAAGGGAGGAGAGGCAGCTCCTCCTCTCGTCTTGCCATCTTCCACTTTTGCTCTTCCGCGGCTGCTTTCGCTCAAGCGGCTTTAGGCTCAAACAATTTCAGCTTGGCTCGCAGCGCCAAGCTGGGCAGTACCAAAGAGCGCGAGCTCGCCACTTACATGCTATTCGCTCCCTGTTCTAGAGGACATCAGCATGCTTCGAGCGCACTTCTTGAAACGTATGTGCACGGCCGTCGCTACTCGAGGCGCGCATCCTTACAGAGGTGTTTCATATGATAAGGGTGCCACCAAATGGCGCGCCAGAGTCGCCTATGATCGAAAAATATACAGACTAGGTTCTTTCGGCTGCTGCATTGAAGCGGCGTGTGCTTATGATGAGTTTCTTCGTAAATGCGATGCCAGCAAGTACAGCGTGCTACGTCGATTGAATTTCCCAACACTTGAAGAGGAGGATATGGTTTTGAATTTTTCGTACGAGGATCGAAGGCGCGAAAATATAGCTCGATATGCTGGCAACTACATGATGCAGGCCACTGCCCAACAGATCATCGAGGCGCACGTCAGCACAGCTCTCGAGTGCGAGTGGATGTGCGAAGGGACGTTAGCTGATGGAATTGTACGCCCCAGTTTGTGTTCAGACGACGCATGGATCGGAATCCAAATCAAATCTACTGCGGAGCCTTGGAATGGGTCGTATCGGTTCGCTGGTGCTAAGAAATATGCGGGTTTGTTGATGCTGTGCGTAGGTCTCGACCAGGAGCTATTATGGCTCATTCCCGGATGCGATGTGAATGTGGAATGTTTGTCCATCAGTGTTGGCGGCAAGTGGGATGCATACCGCTGTCCTTGGCACGACCTGTCGTCGGAACTGCAGTGTGCATGGGGCAACCCAGACGTGTACAAGAGATATCCAGCTGAACTGTGGAAAACTCCTCGTTCGGCTCGCCACCAAGATGAACAGAGAGCCCGGAAGCTAGGGGAAAATGTGTTGCGCGCAGCAGGGTTAACAATCACCACGCCTTCTGTTGCATATGGCCCAGTTGACATCATCATCAACAGGAGGATCCGTGTCCAAACCAAGTCTAGGTCCAAAGAGAATTCAAGTGTTTTTGCTTACCAGATCCCACTTGCGAGGAAGGCTGGTCGCGGTGTAACGCGCCCGTACAGCGCCGACGAGTTCGACGTCCTCGTAGTATACTTGCTGAGGGACGGGAGTCTTGGTGGTATGTTTGTCATTCCAGTGATAGAGCTAGCACTCCGCGGGTATGTGGCAAGCAGCATGTGCGACCGCAAGCCGTGCACAAGTCTCTGCGTTTACCCCCCATGGTCTAGTCCAACTCTAGGGAAGGCCGTCGTTGCGAAAGCTTGGCAAGCCAAATATTCGAAGCGTTGCGCACTTTCCCGCTGGCCCTTTCAGGCTGAGCCAGTTCGTGGCTATATCGAGACAGTCTGGGGACCTTTTCGGGCCATCTTGGAGGCTCTCGGGGGCGTCTTGGGGCCACCTTCGTGCCATATTGGAGTATCTTGTGGCTAACTTGGGGCCTCTGGGGCCCATCTTGGGGTCATCTTGGGGCCATTTGGGGGCCTCGTCGGGCCATGCTAAGCGATTTGCACGGCAGTCTGGGGCCTTCTGGAACAACCTTGAGGTTGTCTTGAGCAATCACGGGTGCTCTAAGCGCCGACTTGAAACGATGTTGTTACATCTTGTTGACACAAGATGAGACTCGCAAAGCACCTTGGAAGCATAACTTGTTTCACTATGTGTCTGCTATTTCGGTTGCGTCATGGGACCTTCCAGGGCCGTTTTTGAGGCATATGTTTGGGCTCTTGAGGCCATCTTCGGGGCCGTTTCGTCAGTCCTGGAGGCCGCGTTGGCTCCCTGGCCGTTTGGTGGCGTCCATGTGGGAACACGGCTTGCCTCTATGGACGCAGGCCAATCCAGCATTATGTGGAAACACGGGGGCAGCCCAGAGTAGCCTGCTGAGGCACACCCTTCTGAATGGCTTCAGTAGAAACAACAGACAGGAACCAATAGACAAGGCGAGACAAGACAAGAGACAGCAGTCCAGCAGCGGTCTTCACAGCCTGGCGCCCCCAGGGAGAGCAGCGGATTTCTTTCAAACATCTTCTGCGCTGGGCAGCGAACAGCTGCAGAGCTTGCGGCAATTGTTTGAAGATTGTTACCCTCCTTCGGATCTCGGATCACCTACTACCAAGCTTGCGGCTGGGACTGGGAACAGAGCCACTTGCCAACCAAAGCTCTAACCCCCCTCGCCTCCCCTCCCTTTTCTTCCCTCCCCTCTCCTTTCTCCCCTCCCTCCCCTCTTCTCCACTGCCTCTCTCCAGCTTGCCCTCTCTCCAGCTTGCCCTTGCTCCTGCGCATCCTGCCCTCCCCCTTTCCAGCTGAGGCCCTCCTCCCTTTCCAGCGAGACCTCCGACCTCCTCCCGCACCCTCTCCTCCTCGGGGGCCCCACAATTCAGTGACCACACCGCGTGGTGAGTCAGTGCGGATCTCGGGGTGACCGCAAGGTTGTTGGATTTGGGCCATTCTTTGGGATGCCTCAGGCGACTGGGGCATCGGGGATCCGGAAACAGTGCTGTGACGGACCGTGCAGTGAGGTCTTTCAGGATTCCGATGTCACCGCACGGTCTGTCACCGCACAGCGTTGCGACCCCAAGCGTCCGCCCCCCCGCTCCCCCTTCGACATCCATCCCCATCCCTCCTTTCTTCATGTTCTTTATGCTTTTTATCTCCCTCTCTCTCTCGGGCCCAATCCGCCTTCGCCCCCTGCTCCATCCTCGGGGCCCGACTCCAGCGCTCGACAGCGCGCGCGCTGAGGCCAGTGGCAATGCAAGAAGCCAGATTGTCTTCACGCGTGTCGAACTGGCGACGAAGAGGAGAAGGAGCTCGCTGCATTGGCAGCTGGTGCCGCAACAGACTGAGGTGCCCTCTTACCGTGCGTCTCTGGAGACGTCCCGAATCATACCTACCGCTCGCAACGGACTCTCTCGACGGGGGGACCAGACCTCGGGGGTTCATCTTTCTTGCGCTTCTGACGGTGCTGCTCCCTATATTTTGCTTCACTCGTCCTGGGACCGGAGCAATATGGGGCTCCGCGGGGGCCTGGCCTTCGTCAGAATTTGGCGAATGGGGTTTTCGGAAATGGGGCCGCGAAACGCGCGCGCAATAGTTCATGCAAAAGTTGGAAACGATCACATACATCGTACCGCGCCTCGTGCAATAGTCTGGGTGCAACAGCTTGCTCGCGCGAACGCAGTAGTTTATCTCTGCGATGCAATAGCTTGTGTTATCGCCTTTTTGCGAGCAGTAGTTTGCAATAGTTGGCCTGCCACGATACAATCGTTGCGTCTGGTCATGAAATATGTTGCAATGTTTGAGCACGCGGGCGAAATAGTTCGCAATAGTTGCACGCAATAGTTGCGTGCAGTAGTTCCAGGCAGCGAACTATTGCAGCTGCGGTTTGCGACCCCATTTCCAAATACCCCATTTCCACAGAACCAACTTCGGCGCACCTTCGCTTTCGAGCGAACGAACGTAAAGGCCTTGCGCCAGGCGACGCGCGAGCAGGGATCGCGGCAGGTGCGCACGGGGGAGCTTCCTCGAAAGGCCATCTGTGGCGCACCAAGTATTTCGAGAAACTCCAAGCTTGTCCCGAGGTGGACAGGGGGGCCGTGAGATCCGACGGTGTGAAAAGAGTGCAACGTCGCAGAAAATCACGCCTGGACCCCCGGACCCCATCTTGCTGCGTCATTTTTCGAGCTGGATCGATCTGTGAGGGCCCCGGGGCCCGATATTGGGCGAAAGCGCCCGTCGTGAAAAATTGCAACGCCAGGATCTCAGGGTTCGAAAAACGAGCGTCAGACTTGCGCCAGACGGCGCGCGAGCAGGGATCGGTGAAGCCTCTGGGCCTGCTCGGCGCCGCCCCGCCTCACCGCCGGAGGTCTCCCCGGCCGCGGCCCCGAGAGGCGCCAGCGGCGTCCGAGCAAGCCACGCCGCGCATAGGGCTCGAACCGCTGTCCCCCCATTGGGGGGGGGGGCGCTGGGGGGGCGCTCCCGGGGGGGGGGGGCGCCCGCCCGCGACGAAGCTCGAGGATCCTCCGGGCGTGGTGCGGGCCCAGCGTGTGCCTGCCCCGCTGATCGGCGGCGCGCCCTGGGGCGGAGGCGGAGGCCCAGCAGGCGCAGAAGGCCTCGGGCCTTCTGAGGAGGCGTGGGGCTGTCGACACGCCTGCTCCGCCGCCCCCATCGCGCGGCCGCCCGTCTCTGAGCCTTCTCCGAAGGCGCCGAGGGCCCCTCAGAAGGCCGGAAGGCGTCTGAGGCTTGGCATCGCTCGGACGTATGCATTTTTTCTCGGCGAGGGCCATCGAGGAACATCCTGGACCATTTCGCGAAAGAACAGATACACGCACGAAAGCGAAAGATGCACGGGGAATGGGCCTCCGAGCGATGGCAAGGAGGAGGCCTGCCCCCCTCATCTTCCCCCCCAGCGGCGCGCCGCCCCGCTGGGCTCCGCCGACAGCGCGCAGCCCATGTCGGCCCTCGTTCGATTACAGCCGGACCGAGGTATAAGATCGAGGTCGGCTCGGGGAGGGTACCCTGATGTTCTTCGTCCTTGCTGGATGTTCTTGTGCATCCTGAGGATGGATACCCTCGACTGTTCTCCAGTCTGGCCGGCGGAAGGTCCCATGTTCTTGAAGGATGTTCTTCTGTCACAGGTCCGATTGCAGTAGGTCGACACCTGTGTGTCCCGTGTCGACACGCCTCGTGTCCTGCGTTTCGCGACCCAGGCCTTCTCTACATTCCTACGGCACGGTGCGGCCCTCGGACGGCTCTTGTGCCCTCTCGCGTGCCCTCTCCAGTCAGACTCGCGACTGTGTGTTGAAATCTAGACGTGAGAGTGACCTTTCGCCGGGGTGACCTTTGGTGCGGGCACAGACGGGTCCCCAGATGGCTGGAAACGAAGCGGCAGCAGCGGCTCGCGCGCCCCAGGCTTGGTCCCCCGGCGGCCCCCCAGAAGGCCGCGCACCAGAGGTCACTCTTACCCAGGGTCCTTCTGGCGTGTAGCCGATGAAGGGCCTCGATGGGAAAAGCACACGCGGGCGCGGGCGCACGCCCCGAGCGATCCTCGAGGAGCACATGCGCTCCTTCCCCCAGCCGGCCCGAGCGCTCACACCCCAGCGGGCCCGGCGAGGCGCCTGCGACCCGGGAGCCGGCAGCGCCAGGATGGGGCCCCAGTTCGATCCAATGGACCGACGCCGTCGACTCCTCCTCCTCCTCCTCCTCCTCCTCCTCCTCCTCCTCCTCCTCCTCCTCCTCGTCCTCCTCCTCCTCCTCCTCCTCCTCCTTCCACTCCTTCCACTCCGTCCTCCTCCTCCTCCTCCTCCTCCTCCTCCTTCTCCTCCTCCCCCGGCCGGCCCGATCCGATGCGGTTTCGATAATTCCGACGATCCGATGCGGCCCGATCTTTGCATGTGCGCTGCTCTGCACCCCAGCGCGGCCAATCCAATCCGACCCCGACTTCGTGCCAGCGGCTGCCCGATCCTGAGGCGCAGTTGCTTTGAGGATCAAGAACCCTCAACGTGCAGGTTCGACCTCCATTCCCAACGCTTTCTTCTTTCGGTCTGGAAGCTCTTCCGCCTCGAAAACACAGGGACCGACCTTCGAAATGGAGGATTTCGATCCTCTGATTCCGATCCGATGCCTCAGGATGCAACACCTGGGAGGTCCCATTCAGCATCGGCGCTGGCAATCATAGCATATCCGGGGCCGAAGACCAGCCCTACCTCCGGATCCGCCCTGCATTGGCTTTTTTCAAACTTGAAGTTGCGTCGGAAATCCATCTCTAAGAAACCGAACAAGTAGGGCGGAAATTTCCGCCCCAAAGAAGCAAGGCTGATCCCATTGAGGGCGGAAAAAGTAGGGCGGAAATTCAGCCCATGGGCTCACTCTTAATGACGAAGACCTCCCAGCAGCTGCATCCTGTCAGAACCCTGACCCCCGACGTTTGGATTTTTTCACAACGTCTACCAGAACATAAGAAAGAGTCGTTTTTTGACGGCCCCGGGGCCTGGCGAGGGCCCCCCTGCAGGCCGCAAGAAGACGCAAGGAACCTCCCGCGCCGTGATTTTTTGCCTTCACGGCGCGCGGGGAGGTCTGGGGAGCCCGACTCCTCGAGCTCGCGCCCACGCCGGCCGCTCCAGGAGCTCCGCCAGCGGGCGCGCCCGCAGCAGCGCCGGCACGCCGCCCGCCAGGCCGCGCCGCGGCCCGGCCCGGGCCGCGGGCCCGGGCACGCCGCAGCCGCGGCGGAGGCCGCGCTCCGCCGCCGCCACGCCGCCGAAGGCTCGGGGGGGGGGGGGGCGGCGGTGGCCCGTAGGTTCGGGCCAGTCTTCCACCACCGCTACCATGTTAAGGTAGGACGGGGGAGAAGGGGGGATGGGTAGGCCCTCCTCCTGCTCCTCCTCCTCCTCCTCCTTCTCCTCCTCCTCCTGCCCCTCCTCCTCCTCCTGCCCCTCCTCCTCCTCTCCCTCCTTCTCCGCCTCCCTCTCCTACATATGGTAGTGGTGGTGGAAAATCGGCCCATCATCAGATGGGTGGTCCTGGGGGGGACCTAAAGGGGGGTGAAGGCAAGGGCCCTTTTAGGGACCTTTGCTTCACCCCCCATTTAGGCCACCCCCGATTCTACCACCCACCCGAGATGTCCGACGATGTGATTTTTGTTGGTCCGGGGCAGCGTATGGGGGGGGGGGGGACATATAAAATTAGGCTCCGGGCGTTCGAAGTCTCTGGCTTTCCGACGTTCTCTCGTCGGTTCCCGGCGGTGGTCCCACCGCGGGATGCGTCCCAGCAGCTGCGCCTCGCCGGTCGTGTTCCGGGCGTGCTCGGATCGTCCCGGACGGCCGCCGGAGAGGCTCGAGCGCCAGGAGGCAACATTAGGGGGGGAGGGGGGCGCATCGACCCCCAATCGCCCACTCATCGCCGATCGGGGCCTGATAGCCCAGAACGCGGAGCTCCGCGTGGATTCCTTGGATCGGCGCTGCCCCCCCCCCCCTGTGCACGTGTATGGCCAGGCATCCGCCAAAGTATTTGTTCCAAGCCGCGGCCCCAGAGGTCCCCATCCCCCCCCCCTGGGGGTAAAAACTTGCGTCCCAGATCCATTGCTGATGGCCCTGCGGCCCGACAGCGGCCCCCGCGAGGGCCGCAGTCGAGGAGAACCGCCGCGGTGGCCAAAATCTCAGATCGTCGGAGATCCCGCCGTTGGCGGCGACAACGCCCACCAAACGGAGAACGCCGCGCCCATGCTTTGAGAACCCCCGTGTCGCGCCCCCCGGTTCCAGTGTCGAAGACGGGCGTGTCTGCGGGTCTGAGCTATGGGCGCTCATATCACGCCGACGAGGGCACTCCCACACCGGCCGCGGAGGCGAACTTGCAACGTGGGGGCCCGAGGGTGGCCCCGTCGACGCAGCGTTGGCTGGGCGTTGCGAAGTGCGCCAGCGGCGGCCTGCGAGCACCTGGCCGGCGCCCTCCCGCGGAGGGCTCGCCGCCCAGGGCCCCGTCGCCGGCCGAGCCGCGCGGGAGCACCCGGCGGCCGCTGCGCGACCGGCAGGAGCCCGACGGCGGGGGCCGCGGGGGCTGGGACTTCACGACCTCCGACATGTCCAGGCGCCCAGGGGCGGATCGGCGGCGAGCCCGGGCGGGGAGGAGGAGGAGGAGGAGCGAGGAGGAGGAGGAGCGAGGAGGGGGAGGAGGAGGAGGAGGAGGGGGAGGAGGAGGACGGAGTGGGAGGAGGAGGAGGAGGATGAGGAGGAGGAGGAGGGGGGGTCAGTCAGCGGCAAGCAAGGGGGGAAAATGAGAAGGATAAGGCCTTCTCAGAAGGCGGCGGGGTTTCTCAGAAGCCCTCCGGCCTTCTGAGAGGTTTCCTGCGTCTTCGGGGAAGGCTCATCAAACTCCTCAGACGGCCAGGAGACTTCCGAGCCTTCTGAGAAGGCCCCGGATCCGCCGTCCTTGGGTCGATCTTCCGATTTCGAGTTGTGTCGGACAGGCACCACGAACGATGCGGCACAGTGGGGTCGAAAATCTCCGCCTCGGGAAAGTAGGGCGGCTATGTTCACAAACGTATGGCGGAAACAGCGACGGCAAAGCAGGGCGGACGTCGACATCAAAGGGGCTTGAAAAGTAGGGCGGAAATGTCTGCCCTGCTTACGACGTCGCCCAGAGTAGGGCGGATCTGGAGCCAGGCAGATCTGTGGGGCCTTCCAGAAGCCTTGGGATCCAGCAGTGGGATTTTTGTTTCGCACCGGACGCTTCCGCCCAGCTTCGGGCCCCAGGACCACAACGGATCGATCCAGCTCGAAAGGTGCCGAAGAAGGATTTGGTCTGGGGCGCCTGTTGTGATTGTTCGCGATCTGCTTTTGTTTTGCTTATCGCACCGTCGGATTTCAAGACCTCCGACATGTCCAGGCACCCACACAGACATCCAACGCACGTATTAGATCAATCAAGACGGATGATTTCGTCGTTTTCAGCATCTGTGGGCGGCCCTCGTCGGGCCAAAATGCTGTCAGGAAACGTCGCGGGACGAAGAATTGGTCCTGGGGAAGTGGTGTAGAGATCTGGGGGACGCCGATGTGGAACAAATCAAGACATCGGAGGTCTGGGTAGAGGAGGCAGATATGCGCGGCGTCCAGGAAGTCCATTGCCTTCGACCCGGGCCTCGCAAGTGAGGTCCCAGTAGATGGGATCGGAGGATCGCGCCGCATCGCCGATGAATCGGCGATGCTGTTCGATGCGGAGCCCAATTTTCTCCACGACGGCGCATCGCCAAGGCATCGCCGACGACGCCGACGCATCGCCGATGCATCGAGGATGCATCGGCGATGCGGCACGACCTCCGACATGTCCAGGCACCCAGAGGTCAGATGCTCGTTTGGGGGAACTCTTGTGGCCCACCTGTTCGAATCCAGTTCGACTCTAGTTCTACTCTAGCTCGACTCAAGCTCGACTCAGGTTCGACTCAAGTTCGGAGCATCTGAGAGCGGAGGGAGATCTATGGGGCGTTCCAGAGAGGGCCTCGCCTTCACGAGACCGAGGGTTGGACGCCTCTGTCCCTTGGCGGAAGGGCGGCGGAGGCGGGCGGACGTAGAAGGAGGGCGGCTCCGCCGTCGGAAGGCCCGCGGAAGCCGGTGGAAGAGTAGAATGCGGTGGGGGCGTTGGTTAAGGAATGTGCCCGGGAGGCTTCAGACCCTGGGGGGCTCCTTGTCCAAGAAAGGCGTCGGTGACGTCCATGGCCGATCCACGATCGAAGTTCCACTGGTTTCGAGACCCTGGATTATTCCTTATCCATCGGTTCCTCATCCAATGCCCTCACCGTGTGCGCCCGCGAGAGACGTTCACAGCTGTGGGTCCCGGGTTTCCAGGGTCGGCCACGTGCCGAAGCCGCTGCCCGTCCCGCGCCGCCACGGCCGGAGATCCGCCCCGGAGGCCTGGTCCGAGCGCGCCTCGGGGGAGAGGTCCGGGGAGCAGCGGCATCGACTTCGCAGTGGCGTGCGCTTTCTTACCGTCCCCCCTCCTCCCCCTCCTTCGCCCCTTTCCCCATCCTGGCCCCTGCGGGTTCAGGCTTGCTCCCCAGCCCCATCGGGGCCCCTTGCAGTCGGACCGAGGTGATCATGGGATCGAGGCCGTTTCGGCGAGGGCGCCCTAGTCTAGGAAAGTGCGCCAGTGGATCTCCCTGAATACACAAAAGGGGGGGTCCAGAACCCCCCCTCCCCTCCTCCCCTTCCAAGGGGGGGTGAATTCTTCAACCCCCCCCCGCCCCCTCCCCCCCTTAAGGGGGGGGAGGGGGCTTCGAACCCCCCCCTCCCCCGATCCCCCTTGAAGGACGGGGGGGGGGGGGTCCGGAACCTCCCCCCCTCCCCCCCTTGGCGCTGGAAAGGGGGGGGGGGGGTCGGACCCCCCCCCCCCTCCCCCCCCTTTGCGCCGGAAAGGGAGCCCGGGAGGGAGGGCCTCTCTCTCTCTCGCTTCTCCTTTCTGCGCCGGAGAAGGTGTGTAGGCAGTACGGAGTCGGGAGTAGGGAGTGGCGAATAATGAGTACTGAATTAGTGCGTAGTGGGTAGTGAGTATTGGGTAGTGAGTTGTGGGTAGTGAGTGGCGAGTAGGGGGTAGGGAGTAGGGAGTGGGGAATAGTGAGTAGTGAATAGTAGGTATACTGAAAAGTGAGTAGTGAGTGGCTAGTACTGAGTAGTGAGTAGTGAGTAGCGAGTAGCGAGTAGGGAGTACTGAGTAGGGAGTAGGGAGTAATGAGTAGTGGGTAGTGGGTAGTGAGTAGTGGGTGGCGAGCAGTGATTAGTGAGTAGTGAGTAGTGGGTAGCGCGTAGTGCGTAGTGAGTAGTGAGTAGTGAGTAGTCAGTAGTGAGTTGTGAGTAGTGAGTCGTGAGTAGAGAGTAGCGAGTAGTGGGTAGTGAATAGCGAGTAGTGAGTAGTGAGTACTGAGTAGTACGTAGTGCGTAGTGAGTAGTGAGTCGTGAGTAGTGATGAAACAGGGAGTAGTGGGTAGTGGCAGTGGGTAGTGAGTAGTGAGTAGCGAGTAGGGAGTAGCGAGTAGTGAGTAGTGAGGAGCGAGTAGGGCGTTGTGAGTAGTGACTAGTGAGTAGAGAGTAGTCAGAAGTGAGGAGTAGTGGGTAGTGATGAGTGAGTGACGAGTAGGGAGTAGCGAGTAGTGAGTAGTGAGTAGTGAGTAGGGAATAGGGAGTAGGGAGTAATGAGCAGTGAGTAGTAAGAAGTGGGTAGCGAATAGTGGGTAGTGAGTAGCGGTTAGTGAGAAGTGAGTAGTGGGTAGTGAGTAGTGACTCGTGCCTAGCGACTAGTGACCTGTGACTAGTGACTAGAGACTATGTAGTGACTAGTGAGTAGGGAGTAGCGAGTAGTGAGTAGTGAGTAGTGAGTAGCGGGGAGTGAGTAGTGAGTATTGAGTAGCGAGTATGGTAGTAGCAAGTAGTGAGTACTGAGTACTGTGTAGTCAGTATCGTGTAGGGAGTAGGGAGTAGCGAGTAGCGAGTAGTGGGTAGTGGGCAGTGACCTGTGGGAAATGAGTAGTGAGTAGTGAGTAGTGGATAGTGGGTAGTGGGTGTTGAGTAGTGATTAGTGAGTAGTGAGTAGGGAGTAGGGAGTAATGCTTAGTGAGTAGTGAGTATTGAGTAGTGGGTAGTGAGGAGCGAGTAGTGAGTAGTGAGTAGGGAGGAGGGAGTGGTGAGTAGGGAGTAGTGAGTAGCGAGTAGGGGGTGCTGGGTAGTGATTAGTGGATAGTGAGTAGTGAGTCGTGAGTAGTGAGTAGGAAGTAGTGAGAAGTGAGTAGCGAATAGTGAGTAGTCAGTAGTGGGTAATGAGTAATGAGTAGTGAGTACTCTTTGGGGCTGGGGTTAGTGGTTGGGGTTAGGGTTAAGGTTTTGGGTCAGGGTGAGGACTAGGGGTAGGGGTGGTGGGGGGTCGGGTTCCGGAGTCAGGGGCGGCGTGGCGAAAGGGGAGATGGGGAAGGGGGGCGGCCAAAGGGGGAGGGGGGGGGGTCGGACCCCCCCCCCCCCTTTTGAAAGGAGGGAGGGGGGGGGGCGTTCCCGACGACGGACCAGGAAAGGGGGAAAGGGGGGGGGGGGGTCCCCGACGACGGATCGGGGAAGGCGGGGGGGGGTCCCTGACGACGGATCGAGGAAGGGGGGGGGGGGGGTCCCAACCCCCCCCCCCTTGGGGTTATCCAGCGGCGCACCCTCCTAGCCTAGTCTTCGTGCTTGTCGGATGTTTTTGTGCATCCTGGGGAGGGTATCCTTGGTTGTTCTGTGTGTGCTTTGGCCGAAAGAGGGTCATGCTCTCTAGGGAGATCTTCTGGCCCAGGTCCGATTGTAATACGAGCAGCGAGCGCCGGACGAGCTGCTGCCTCCCAGGGGCGCGCCTCCTCCTCGAAGAAAAAGAGAGCGAAGCCATGCGACCAATCAAGAAATGCCCGGGGGGGGCGGCGTCGCGGCGCCCTGCTGGGAAGCGGACGACTAAAAAGCAAAAGAAACAAATCCCGCTTCGTCGTCGTCGCCGCCGTCCAGGCCGCCAGGCCGCAGCCGGCGACCCAGACTATTTGTTTGATCGTGGCTGTCCGAGCTGTTGCTCGGGGGCTTGGTCGCACTCTCGACGACGATGACGATGACGGCGTCGTCGTCGTCGTCGTTGTCGTCGCACGTTCCCCCAGGTACCGGCTCAAGCCCGCCCAGCAGCTGCAGAGGCAGGTGCTCCGGATCTCCAGGAACCACGACGAGGCCGCGGCGGAGGTCGCGGAGAAGATCCGCAGCATGCAGGAGAAGGGGGGCGGCAAAGAGGGGGGCGATGACTAGGGGTAAGTCGGGCCTGTCCCTGCACAGGGGGAATATTCAAAGAGTCGAAAAATAGTCTGGGGACGATTTTTTTGTATTTTCACAGTTCTGGGATATTTTTAACTATGTTTAACTTCTCGTCCAAAGTCGACCTGTAGGGGGACATGCCCGACCTAAGACTAGGGGGGGTTGGATATCCTTGCGAGGCCTATGGTATTTCCCCGGATTTCATGGCGCCTCTTCTTGTTTCATGACGTCCCCAGCCTCCCCCCCTGGGGCCGCGCACACGCCGCCGGCCATGATTTGCGCCCCCCCTCTTGGACGCCCCCCTCGTTGGCCGCCCCCGAGGAGAACATCGCGCCCTTCGTGCACGAGCTCCACGAGCGCGGCTGGGCCGCCGACGCGGCCCCGCCGAGCCGGATGACGCCCTGCTTCGCGTCCAGGGTGCCCACTGGTCGGCGGCACTCAAAGATCAGGAGGGAAAAAAACACAGACACAATTAATCGTCGATTCCCAGGAAAGTATGGGAAAATATGGGAAGTGTGTGGGGGGGAAGACGAATGTCCAAAAAACATGGAAAATATGAGGGATCCTGGGATGTGTGTGTGTGTGCATTTCTTTGTGTGTCCCTGGGTCCCTCCCAAAGAGTCGATGGTCCTCAGGGCGTGCGTTGGCCCACCGTGTATATACCTCATTCACCTCCACCGATCGCACGCAGCCTGCGTCGGACCTCGTTGCGCCGCTTGCGTCCCATTGAAGGGCTCTCTGTGGGTTAGCGCACGTTGGCGCTGACACACGTCCTGAGGATCATCGAAGAGGGCTCGGGATCCCGATATGCCGCCCACCACCTTTTTTCTGTGGATGCAAATCCTGCTCTTCCTCCGGAGTCTCCGGACGGCCTCGGGGGGGCCTGGCGAGGGCGCACAGAGGCGGCCAGCTGCGAGAAACTTCCACTCGGCCGAGTTCCTCGAGAGGTGGGAGGTCTGGGCCATGCAGTCGACGCTGGTAGTAAGGATGAGCGACTTCCCAAGGGGACCCTGAGGCACCCTTGCCTCGTCGGTCATATCTTCGGTCCATCCTCCACTTCCCATGGCCAGGCCCGCTCGACGAGCCTCGGCAGGGCCTTCCAGGTCCCTGCATCCTTATCGCGCATCCTTACTCCCAGAGATCCGACGTCGTGATCTTTTCAAAGCGGGGTCCCCGGAAGTCTCGACCGATTCCCCAGGACTGGTTTTTCATCCCGAATCGTCCTTTGACGGTCCCGGGGCCCGGCGAGGGCCCCTATTGAGGCCGAAAATTGCGAATAATTTCGGTCGTGATTTTTTCCATACGTTGGATCTCTGGGCTACCAGTTCTGGCTGCAGGGCTCCAGAGGGCTCCTCGATGCCCCGCGCCAGGGCGCCTGCCGGGGGGCGCGGCCGGCGGGCTGCTGGACGCGCACGGCGGCGCCCTGTCCCCGGGGTGGCCCGCGGAGGCGCCCCGCGAGCCGAGGGGCGCCGGGGCCTCCGGTGCCCCGAGGGGCGGCTCGGCCGAGCCCGAGCTCGGCGTGGCGCTGGCGCGCCCGGGCCCCGCGGCGTGCTCGGCCGAAGGCACGAAGCGGAAGGAGCAGCAGCGAAGACACAGAGTCAGGGGAGGAACAGAAAGGGTAGCCACGCCGCTGCCCGTCGCCTGTTTTCCCCCTTTTTTGGGCCTCCTGGGAGGCCCTCGTCGCCACCGCTGGATTCGCCTCGAAATTCTGGACAGAACGCACCCGAGGACAGGTCAGGAGAGTTGTGGTATCGGCACCTCTTGGTTACCCCAAGAAAGCATACATTGTTGCCGCGCCGTTTCTTCTGAACACGCCCGAGAAGACGAAGCAGACACCACGGCAGACCCGCGGCAAACTTTGCGTCCGAGGCGGCATTCGCCCTGGTGGTCTAGGCGCCCGTAAGGCCGCGAGTCGGAACAAACGGCGCGGCGACAAATGTTAGTCAGCATGCTTCTAGCAGTTCATGTGGTGCAATCTAACTATATGGTGCGCAAAATGTGTGGTGCAATCGATGTGTGGTGCAGTGTATGTTGTAAGCAAAGACATAACATATCAACACAGAGGAGAGGAATCTCGAATCACAAGAAAATGAGCACAGGCAGAAGCTGCCGGAGCTCCGCGCGGGTTTCTCGGATCTGCGCTGGGCCCCCCTTGGCGGCGCCGCCGGCGCCGCCCCTGGCGCGCTCCGCGCGCCAGGGAGGGGGGTCCAGCGCGGATCCAAGAGATCCGCTCGGACCTCCAACATTATATGATGATGCCGTTTGTCGTCGTTTTCTGATTCATTGTTTTGCCGATCGGCGCGGGTCCTCGCATCCCCCCTCCGCCTCCCCCCCATGGAGTACATCTTGGCTGTTTTGGGCGCCTGTTTCAAGCAGGTGGAGTCTCCCCCATAGGACGCACTGTTGCAAACAGTCGCGTTAAGCAGAGGCCCTGAGCCAGACCCCCCCCTCCCCCCCGCCCAATGTCGAAACGCCGAAAAAGAAACCGCTCACATTCTTGTTGTTCTAAAACCGATGATTATCGACGTTGGAGATGGCCAGGGAGGCTGAGGTGGGGCATCACTCTTTGGATCCAGCCCTCAGAGTGGGGAGAGGCACAGGTTTCTCCCCTGGGCCGCCTTCTCCAGGTGAGCACGGGATGCTGAATCTGGGCCCTTTCCCCATCTCGCTGGTGCCCATCCAGAGCGGACCCCCCTGGCCACCTCCCAAATCGGCGCAGACATAGCAGTGCTCAACGCACATGACGCGGCCGGTGTGGGCGAGATTCCAGCCCAAGCAGGACAGATGGGGCGCTCCAGGAACGGCCTCGCCCTCGAGGGATCGAAGGAGTCGGTGCCCTGTCCCTGGCGGGAGCCAGCGTTCTCGTCTCAAAGAGATGGTTGGGGCGGTTCAGAATGCCCGAGATCCGCCACAGGACGCGGCCGCTGGCGTGGTGGAGATTCCCGCCCAAGACATACATCCCCGCTAGGAAAGTGTTCATCTTGACTACCAAGACATGTCTGTCCGACAAGGTGCGAAGTCGCCTGGGAGTGATCATTGCGGTGGGTCTCCATCGGAGGAGAGCTTGAGTTGAGCCTGAAAGTGACCGGGAGTGGATTCTCCTGTCTTTCGGAAGCGCCCGTGTGGCCGAACGTTGTGGCCAGAGCTCGGCCTAGCTATCGGACTATGTGTTCCCCCAGTCGTTGTGGAAGCCATTCTGGAAGCACGTGGGGGAGAACGAAGAAGTAAAGGAGAGAGACCGTAGATGGACAAAAAAGTGGAACCCTTGACACCACGCCCCCCCCCCCCTCCCCCCAATTTCAAAGTTGGCCTCAAGCATTTGGCAGCACAGGCGTGAGAGGACAAAAGAAGTGGAACCCCCAGGGCCTCTGAGAGGCCGAACCCAACTTTGAAATTGGGGGGAGGGGGGGGGGGACGAATGCGGGGCCGAAGACGAAGGGGTTCCATTTTTGCTGTCCCCTTTCCGGAGGAAAGAGAAGGATGAGGAGGAGGAGGAGGAGGAGGAGGAGGAGGAGGAGTAGGAGGAGGATGAGAAGGTGGAAGAGGAGGAGGAGGAGGAGGAGGAGGAGGAGGAGGCATCTTGGGAGTCTCTTCGGGCACTCTTTGAGCCTCCTGGGAGCTTCCTGGGGGCCTCCGGGAGGCTTCATGAGGCTTCCTTGGGCCTCCCGGGGCCTTCGGAGGCTCCTTGGGAGTCACTTGGGCTGTCTGTGGGCGTTCCTGGCTCGCCAGACGCCGTCGGAAACAGTCCTGAGGGCCTCTCTGAGCCCCCCAGTTGGGGCCCTCTTCAGGCGCTTCAGGGCCGTTTGGGATGACATCTTGGACGTTTTGGAGATCTCATGGGCCGTCTTGAGGCCCTCTTGGGGCCATCGTGATGACCTCTTTAACCGTCACGGGGCCATCTCTGAGGCCTCCTGGGCGCTATCGGAGCGAGCTTGGCCTCTGGGGCCGTCTTGGACCGTCGGAAAGCCGAAGATGAGCAAACTCCAGAATCCGTCAAGAGCTGTTCAGAAAAATCCTGCGGGCCTTCCTGGCGGTCCTTTTGGAGGCCTCTAGGGCCGTCTTGGAGGCTTCTTGGGCGATCTTGAGGCCATCTTGGCCAATCTCGGGGCATCTCGGCCCGTCTTGGAGACATCTTGGTGCCATCTTGGGCTCTCTTGGGGCCATCGTAGCCATCTTGGAGACCATCTTCGTCGTCTTGGAGGCTCTCTTAGGGCCGTCTGGAGCGAATCGACCGACGACCCGGGAAGTTTACCGGTCCTCGTGGAGGCGAGCTTTCCGTTTTGTCCTATCTTTCCGCGTCCTTGCGCACAAGTCCGGGAGGTTGGCGGGTCCGAAGGCCCTTGCGAACCTTGAAAGGGAAGATGAAAAAACCTAACGTTCGGGACGCGGGGCCCCCCTGAGAAACCAACTGGGGGCGGCGGATCGAAGACGCCTACGGCGAATCACCGCCGCCCCCTGCATTTTGGAAGCGCCTATGTGGCCTAACGTTGGTGCAAAGTTTGGCCACGCTATTGGACCATGCGTTCCCCCAGCCGTTGTGGAAGCCCTTCGGGGAACATGCGGGGGAGGACGAGGACAATGAGGAGAGGGAGGAGAAAGGAGGATGAGGAGAAGGATGAGTCATTCTTGGGGCCTCCTGGGAGCTTCCTGGGAGCCTCTTGGAGGCCTCTTGGAGGCCTCCTTGGGCGTCTTGGGGCCTGCGGTTGCTTCTTGGGGGCCTCTTTAGCAGTCTTACGGCGTTCCTGGCCCGTATGTCGCCGTGGGGAGCCGTCATGGGAGCCTCTCTGGGCCGTCTTGGGGCCATCTTGGGGCGCTTCAGAGTCGTCTTGAAGGCCATCTTGGGCTTCTCAGGAGCCTCTTGGGCCGTCCTGGGGCCATCTTGGCTTCGTCTTGGGCGGTCTTCGGGCAATTTTGGAGGCCTCGTGGGCCGTCTCAGGCCGCCGGACGGCCGTTTTGAAGTAAATGCCAAATCCTTCAAAAACCAAAGGAACAATGATTTTGGCCCCTTCGGGCCTTCCTGGAGAAATTCTTGGAGGCCCCTTGGGCCGTCTCAGGGGCCTCTTGGGCGCTGCTTGGGCCGTCCTGGGCTCTCTTGGACCATCTTCGCGGTTTGGGAGGCGTCTTGGGACCGTCTGGGAGGCCATTTTTGTGTCTTGGACCATCTTGGCCGCCTTCGAGTGATTTCGGCAAATTGAAACATTTTTCCCTGGGCTTTCCGGATGGCCAGAGGTTTGGGCCGTCTTGGCCGCCTTCGAGTGATTTCGGCAAATTGAAACATTTTTCCCTGGGCTTTCCGGATGGCCAGAGGTTTGGGCCGAAGACCTAGGAACCAGACATTTAGCACGCCGTGCATTTTTGTGGCAACACACAGGGGGCGGCGGATCGAAGACGCCTACGGCGAATCACCGCCGCCCCTTTGCCTTCTGGAATCGCCCATGTGGCGGAACGTTGTGGCCAGAGCTATGCCAGGCTATCGGACCATGTGTTCCCCCAGCCGTTGTGGAAACTCTTCGGTGAACACGCGGGGGAGAAAGAAGAAGCGGAAGAGAGGGAGGAAACATAGAGGGGTGGCGGCGGAGGAGACGGAGGAGGAGACGGAGGAGGAGGAGGAGGAGGAGGAGGAGGAGGAGGAGGAGGAGGAGGATGAGAGACGCGGGGGGATTAGGAGGAGGAGGAGAAGGAGGACAAGAGGAGGAGGAGGAGGAGGAGGAGGAGGAGGAGGAGGAGGAGCAGGAGGAAGAGGAGGCTGGGGAGGCAGGGGAGGCTGAGGGCGAGGAGGAGGAGGAGGAGGAGGAGGACACTTAGGTGGTGATGGGAGCTTCCTGCGGGCCTTTGGGAAGCCTCTTGGAAGCCTCCTTGAGCCTCTTGCGGGCCTTGGCTGCTTGCGGGCCTCTTGGGCCGCCTTTGGGCGTTCCTGGCCAGTCTGACGCTGTCAGAAGCAGTTCTTGGATGCTTCTCTGAGCCATCTTGGGCGTCTTGGAGGCCTCTTGGGCTGTCTTGAGGCCCAATTGGGGCCTTCTTGGGGGCCTCTGGGGCCGTCCTGGGGTCATCTTGGAGGCCTTTGGGGCCACTTTGAGGCTATCTTGGGGGCCTCTTGGGCCGTCTCGGGCCGTCGGGAGACCGAGAAGAAACAAACGGCAAAATCCTCTAACAACCTACGGACAATCAATGAGTTTGGTCTCTTTGGACCCTCCTGGAGGACCTCTTGGAGGCCTCTTGGGCCGTCTTGGAGGCCTCCTGGGGGTCTCTGAGGCCGTCTTGGAGGCTTCTTGGGCCTCTGGGCCGTCTGGGGCCGCCTTGGGCCGTCTCGGATTCGTTTTGTTTTGCGTTCTAGACGCAAGCGCGCTTTGAACGGCGTTGTGCCCGGGCCCTGCATGTGGCCAGCTGTCTTCCCGGGGCTCGGCCCGTGCATGGCCAGGTGCACTCCAGCCACGCGTGTGCTTCAAGCTTCCTGCGGACTCTTCGGAACTCTCGGCGCAGATGTCTTACACGCGCGCCGATCCAAGAAATCCGCGTGGGCCTCCGAATGTTTGTGCATATCCAGTCGGCACATCAAGTAAGAAATCGGCATGCGAGCAGGTGCCCCACGGAAAGTTCGTACGCCTCGAAGGCACCAGGAACCCACAGACGTTTTGGGGCACCTTGGACCCTCAACGATCGACGAATAATGTGCCCCAGTGCTGCGCATTACAAGATTTATTGTCGTACGTGTCCACTGTATCCGATTTGCCTCCTTCCAGAAGGCGCGCCGCGGTACAAGTTCCTCCGCCGCGCGCGCTGCGATCGCCAGGCGTTCGCTTCCTGCTGCTGCTGATATTTGTTAGCACCTCTTTCTCCTCTTCTTCCTGTGTGTCTTCCTATGAATATTCGTGCCTTTATTTCCCACAACAGTGCATACACTTAACGTTTCTTTCTTCTGTTCCAAGGAACTGAGCTGTTTCTTCGGTCTGGCGGCTATGTGGCCGCCGTCGCCGCCCCGTCGCCGCTTCGTCGCCGCCTGTCGTCTGGGCCGTGTCTTCGGTTTGACGGCTATGTGGCCGCCGTCGCGGCCTCGTCGCCGCCGGTCGTCTGGGCCTGTCTGCCGGTCTGGCGGCTATGTTGCCGCCGTCGCCGCCCTGTCGCCGCTTCGTCGCCGCCCGTCGTCTGGGCCCGTTTGCCGGTCTGGCGGCTATGTTGCAAAACATGGTTTGCACCACCTAGATTGCACCACAAATATCGTACAACATAGATGGCGTAACATAGATTGCACCACAAATGTTGCACAGCATAGATGCACCACATAGATTGCGCACCATCTGTTGGACCACCTACGTTGCACAGCATAGAGTGCACAACATACATTGTGCCACATAGACTGCACAACAGATATTGCACAACCAAGATTGCACAGCACAGACTGTACAGCAAATCTTGCACCAGATATAGGCTACACCACACAGGTTTCACAACAGATATTGCACCACATCTGTTTCAACGCCTAGAATGCACAACATAGATTGTACCGCATAGATTGCGTCACAAATATTGCGCCGCCTAGGTAACAACACTTAGATTGCAAACATAGATTGCGACACCAAGACATCACCACATAGATTGCATAACAGAGGTTTCACAACATCGATTGCACAGCTAATATTGCACCACATTTAAGTTGCACCACAAATATTGCACAACATAGAATGCACCACATCTATTGCACCACACAGGCTGCACAACTTATATATATATATATATAGATACACACTTATATGTACATTAATGAATCTCGCACAACATGGGCTGCACAACATATATTGCGCAGCAGTTATTGGACCACATATTTTGCACAGCATCGAGTGCACAACACAGTTAGCATTCCAGAAAACGGCAACGCATATCTTGCATCACCTACACTGCACCACACAGATGGCGCCATGTAGGTTGCACCACGTAGATGGTTAGAAACACACTTGTTGTGGTTCACGCTGGCTTATATATTATTATGAGTCGTATTAATGTTCATATTTTATTGTCACACGCATTAGCAGTATCATTATTATTCGCATTCGTGTTATTATTAGTAGTATTATTGTTATTGTTGTTGTTGCTGTTGTTGTTGTGATTGGTATTGTTGTTGTTGTTGTTCTTGTTGTTGTTGTTGTTGGTGGTGTTATTGTTGTTGTTGTTGCGGTTGTTGTTGTTGTTGTTGGACATTATTTATTCTAAAGAATAATTATTGTTGGGCCCCCTGGTGCGCGCCCCCCCTGCGCCGCCTAGGCCGCAGCAACATTTTCATCATTTTCGTGAGGAAGCCTCAGAAAAGAGGGTTTCTTTCCCTTGCAAAAAACAATAGAAAATGACATTTCTTGTTCTAATATAATCAAATTTCAAGAATCCCTTGCAAAAAATAAGGTAAAGTGGACATTCGCGCGCGCAAGACGAAATCCTTCCAAAACCTTAGTGTTCGCAGCGATTTTAACATAAAAACATCAAAAAACCAATGGTTTTTCAACAAAAAATTGTCAACATCTCATCCCGCGCGCTCTTGCGGATTCGTAGGAAACCCAACACTTTTTAAACATTTCTGTCAAACGGGCTTTTGCTAGCAACTTTTTCGAACTTCTGCAACAACGGTTGCGCACCTGCCAGGGCCATCATCCCTGTCAAATAATACCATGCGGGACACATTCGTTTTTTCTTCGCGCGCGCACGCCGTCGTCGTCGGCCGCGGGGCCCTGAATAGTAGCCACGGTCGTCCGCATGCCACGAAGTGAAGTGTCCGAACGTCATAGGGCGGGAAGCTGGGTGTGGGTGGTGGCGAAGAGTCGTTTGGAAATTTGGTAGAGCTTGAACCGGCCCCCCCACAAAGTGGGGGTATTGCCCGCCTCCTATGAAAACCCTGGCACTGGTGAGAACGGAGTGTCCCCACGTGCTAGTAATTGTTGTTGTTGTTGTTGTTGTTGTTGTTGTTGTTGTTGTTGTTGTTGTTGTTGTTGTTGTTGTTGTTGTTGTTGTTGTTATTAACGTTAGTATGAATCGATCATTATTATGGTTAGTATTACCAATGTTCTTGTCATTATCACAATCGTTCGTATTATTATTGTTATTTCTGCTCCTTCTCCTCCTCGCCCTCCTCCACCTCCTCCTCCTTCTCTTTCTCCTCCTCCTCCTCCTCCTCGTCCTCCCTCCCCCCTCCCTCCCCCTCCCTCCCCCCCTTCCTCTTCCCTCCCTGCCTCTCTCCTCACTCTTCCTCCTCTTTCTCCTCCTCCTCCTCTTCCTTCTCCTCCTCTTTCTCCTCCTCCTCCTGCATCTCCTCCTCCTCTTCCTCCTCTTCCCGCGGCGGGCCGGGGCGAAGGAAGGGAAGGATTTGCTCGAAGAGCACTCAAGGCCAGCGAGGCCCGGGCAGGGACAGCCCGCGGCTGGCCAAGGTGCCAATCCGAGGCGGAGGCCACTGCCGAAAAGCCCAACCGACGCCAGAGCGAACACGGGCAGGGCGGACAGCGCAGACGGACGCGTAAGTCGACCATTCAGGCTGCCAGAGCAGTTCGGGCGCAGGGGGAGGAGGAATGGGAGGAGGAGAAGGAGCAGGAGCAGGAGGAGGAGGAGGAGAAGCAGGAGAAGGAGGAGGATGAGGAGGAGGAGGTGGAGGAGGAGGAGGAGGAGGAGGAGGAGCTCGAGGCGCGACTGACGGGCAGGGGCGGCCGGCCCCGAGAGAAGGGAAGCGAAAGGGCAGGAGGGGGGATGGGGGAGACGGGGAGCAGTCGGTGCCGTCGGCGGCCGTGGCCGTGGCCGGGGTGGTGTCAGCGGTGGTGCTGCCCGCGGCGCCGGGTGGGGCCCGCTGCGCGCGGTGGTCTCGGCGCTGCCCGCTGCGCCGGTGCTGCTGCGCGTGGTGCTTGTGGTGTGCGCGGTCTGCGGCCGCTGCCGCTGGTCCCGAGTGCGGTGGTCCGTGCGGTGCTGCTCGTGGCGCCGGCAGCGCTGCGCGGGCGCCCTCGTGGAGCAATTACCCCCCCGCGGCCGCCGAGATGGTCTCGGCGCTGCCGAGGTGCAGCCGCATGCTCAGCTGCTGCCACCCGTAGCGCAGCGGACCTCGGTCCGCTCCGCGTGGGCCATGTCGTGACCCCAGGAGCGGACGCACGTCACTGTGGCGTCTCCAGAGGGCGCCCCCCCCGTCTCGAAGACTACTGGGACGAGCTGTCCTCCTAGCGGTCCCGCTGGCTGTCTTTCGCGCTGGTGGCGGCAGGGCCGTCATTCTTGATGCGTGCCTGCTGGCGCGGCGCGTTGCCGCCGTGTGTGCGCAAGCCACGTTCGTGTCCAAGAACACCGTCCGTCCAGTCATCGCGTCGCGGGTGACGACGTCCAGCCGTGCCTCCTCGAAACGCCGCACTATCCGCGGGTTCGCCCTGTCCCGAGCAACAGCCCGTTGCTCCATCTGCGCCGCGTGTCCGGTGGTCCGCTGGTGGTAACGGGCGCAGAAGTCTTGGAGGGAAAAAGAAGGGGTCTGCAACAGGGGGTCTTCAATGGGGGCTGAATGGCCCATGTATGCTCAATGTATCGCTCATGTACGTGATCGGGTATGATTGGCATCCAATGTTGGCGGTCATGGAGGGCCATTCGTTCGTGCCCACGCGTTGCCCGCGCGGGCAAACGCGCCGTCCATCGATTATCGTTCATGCGTGCGGGCGTTCTTGCATATCGCGCGCGGGGCGGCGAAGTGGAGAGCAAGTGTGTCTTGATTGTGCGAGTGATGATCGCGTATCCTCCCAAACGATACATGTCGACCCCCAAGACATATTTGGAATGAGTCCAGCGATTTTCCCAAAATGTGAATTCACTTTTCCTTTTTTCCCAATATGTGAATTCACATTTTCCTGTTTCCCAAAATTTGAATTCACACTCTGGCCCCTTCATGAAATTCCCCGTGGGAAATTCCAACATATGAATTCACATGCTCTTTTTTCCCATCTGTGAACTCACATGGTCCTTTTTTCCAAAATGTGAATACACAGTTTGCTTTTTCCCCACCATGTGAATTCACATGTTGCCCTGGCCCTCAAGATCCCCAACACTGAGGCGCAGTCTTCCGCATGTCAGATTGGCGTGGCAGATTTGGATACTCTCCTCACCGCCTTCGTTTATTTCAACTTTTCTTTTTGCGCCCTCAGCGCACGTTGCCTTTTGTCGCCTTTCCCGACCCCCACGCCTCCTTGCTTCCTTTGCCTTCAAGTCTCGCGCAAGGGTGCAGGCGGGGAGCTTAAATTGGCCCCCCCGCCGAACAGAGCAATCGAGGATGTATCGCCCATGAAGTCCCAGAGGCCGTCGTGCTGGTTGTTGCGCCAGGGCCCGCATGGGCACTTCAGGGCGCGTCGCCCGCCTCTGTGCAGTTGCTCACCGCATGCGCTTCCGCCCTGCGCGCGGATCGGAGCTTGCAGGTGGCTCCCAGCGGACACAAGGGAAGCCGCAGCCTGAGGGCGACGTGGACGCGTTCGTGTGGCATCGTGTTCGTGGGTTCGTCTTCTCGGACGACGGGGGGCTCGTGGGGCCTGCCGTTTGTGCGATCACAACCAGATATGTTTTCTTGTCTCAGCTGTTTATCTACCTGGGGCGTTCCACAAAATGGCTTCGCCTTCGAGGATCGAAGGAGTTGACGTCCCTTCCTCGGCGGAAGGCGGCGGAAGTAGAACGGGAGCGGTTCCGCTGGCGGAATACCAGCGCAAAGGTGGCGGAATAAAAACCGGCCTCCCAAAAGATGACACCATGTTCGGGTTCAGTGTTTCCAGAAGTGGTCATTCGTAGCGCGCGTTGTCTATGTCCACGCCGCATGTAAAGTTAAGGGAACGTGCGCGTTGATTATTGCGAAGGCCTGACGGCCGGTGCCGCCGACCCTGTTCGCAATGCGCAGCAAGAGATTACGAGGTTGCTCAAGGTCGGCTTGGCTGGAGCCCAGGGGAAGAGGAGTCCCAGGGGGGGGCGTCGTATCTGACCCGGGGGGGGGGTCGCTACCCCCCCCCCCCCGGCGGGGGAGGGATCAAAGGGAAGGGGCTTCCCTTCGACTCAATTACGAGGTTGCTCAAGGTCGGCTTGGCTGGAGCCCAGGGGAAGAGGAGTCCCAGGGGGGGGCTCCGGGGGGTTGGGGAAGGGGCTTCCCTTCGACTCAATTACGAGGTTGCTCAAGGTCGGCTTGGCTGGAGCCCAGGGGAAGAGGAGTCCCAGGGGGGGGCGTCGTATCTGACCCGGGGGGGGGGTCGCTACCCCCCCCCCCTCCCGGCGGGGGAGGGATCAAAGGGAAGGGGCTTCCCTTCGACTCAATTACGAGGTTGCTCAAGGTCGGCTTGGCTGGAGCCCAGGGGAAGAGGAGTCCCAGGGGGGGGCGTCGTATCTGACCCGGGGGGGGGGTCGACCCCCCCCCCCCTCCCGGCGGGGGAGGGATCAAAGGGAAGGGGCTTCCCTTCGACTCAATTACGAGGTTGCTCAAGGTCGGCTTGGCTGGAGCCCAGGGGAAGAGGAGTCCCAGGGGGGGGCGTCGTATCTGACCCGGGGGGGGGGTCGCCCCCCCCCCCCCCCCTCCCGGCGGGGGAGGGATCAAAGGGAAGGGGCTTCCCTTCGACTCAATTACGAGGTTGCTCAAGGTCGGCTTGGCTGGAGCCCAGGGGAAGAGGAGTCCCAGGGGGGGGCGTCGTATCTGACCCGGGGGGGGGGTCGACCCCCCCCCCCCTCCCGGCGGGGGAGGGATCAAAGGGAAGGGGCTTCCCTTCGACTCAATTACGAGGTTGCTCAAGGTCGGCTTGGCTGGAGCCCAGGGGTTGCTCAAGGTCGGCTTGGCTGGAGCCCAGGGGAAGAGGAGTCCCAGGGGGGGGCGTCGTATCTGACCCGGGGGGGGGGTCGACCCCCCCCCCCCCCCGGCGGGGGAGGGATCAAAGGGAAGGGGCTTCCCTTCGACTCAATTACGAGGCTCAAGTCGGGGAAGGGAGGTCCTTGGGGAAGGTCGGCTTGGCTGGAGCCCAGGGGAAGAGGAGTCCCAGGGGGGGGCGTCGTATCTGACCCGGGGGGGGGTCGACACCCCCCCCCCCCTCCCGGCGGGGGAGGGATCAAAGGGAAGGGGCTTCCCTTCGACTCAATTACGAGGTTGCTCAAGGTCGGCTTGGCTGGAGCCCAGGGGAAGAGGAGTCCCAGGGGGGGGCGTCGTATCTGACCCGGGGGGGGGGTCGACACCCCCCCCCCTCCCGGCGGGGGAGGGATCAAAGGGAAGGGGCTTCCCTTCGACTCAATTACGAGGTTGCTCAAGGTCGGCTTGGCTGGAGCCCAGGGGAAAAGGTCTCCCAGGGAAAGGGAAGGACAGAGACGACGAGTACAAAGAATGACGGAGATGACGGCTCGAACGGAAATGTCCCTCACACACGCCGACAGGGTCGGCGGATTGTAGAGGCAGGTTGGCAAAATGATGTCGGGCGTACGTCTTCCACGGCGCCGCCATTGAAATCCTCTACGCGTAAAACCCAACTGTCCAGTCTGAATTGAAATGTAAATTTGCACGTCGCCACGCATGAAACAACCTTGCGCAATCCATTGGCACATTGATGTTGGTTGCGAAGGATTTCCAGAGGCAACGCCGTTGGGCCGCGGACGGTTGCCAGGAAACGCAAGTAACAAAAACACAACAATGATATACACCATGCGTTCCAACATGGGTAAACAATACAGGCCATGAGAGCTTTTAACTGTCAGTATGCTTCCAAGGCGCACATCCCCCACACATGCTTTCCTGCAGCAGCCCTTACAACAAATAATGCAGTTGTGCGGCGGCCGTTCAACAACAAATAAAAGTGTGGGGCATTTGCGGTGGCCACCACAAGTGAAATCCTTTGGTAGTTGTCTTTCCCTCCAAAAAAGGCGTTCTGCTGTGGCGATCTGGCAGAAAAAAAGGCTTTAAAGTGTGTGGGTTCTGCAGCCAATGAGAGTAGCGACAGTCACAGGTCCCCTTCTTTTCGTTTCCTACGTGTTTTCGTGAACAGAAATGGTTTGTAGTGTGTGTATGTGTGTGTGTGTGTTGTTTTCTTGCTTTCTTTGTCAGTTTCCGCTGCCTCAACGGAGATCTCAGTGGCGGCTCCGTTGCGCCGCGGAAGTTTACCAGGAAACCATTCTTATAACGAGAAACGAGAAACCATGCTTTCAGGAGAAACGGAAGACAATGCGTTTTCCACGTTGGGCTGATGGCGCAGACCCCCTACATTAAAAGGATTCCCTGTTTGTGGGGACTCCCCCAAAATGGATTTGAAGACCAGGGCGTTTGCAGTGGCCGCCACATATGAAACCTTTTTGCTAGCAGCCTTCGCAAAAGGATGCCGCGTGTGATGGTATTACGAAACAAATCAATCTGGGGGATCTGCAACCAATGGGAGTAGCGACAGTCACAGGCTGCCGCGGGATTTCCTTTATCTCATTGGCAGCACATGGTTCGCGGGTGCGTTTTTTTTTGTGTTTTCTGGTGTTCTTGGTAAACTGTTGCCGTTCCACGGCGCCGCCGCTGGGCTCTCCGTGGGGTTGCGCAAGCTTACCAGGAAACGCGACACGGATGACCAACTATAAAAACCGCTTAGTTCCCCACGGACAATCACGGCACAGCTGAGACTATGTGTAACCTTCGCTTTTTCGATGGTGCAGAGCCCCCGCCTGAAACCTTTGTAGCAGCCCTTACCAAAACACCGAATCTCTTTTGTGGCAACCTTCCAAAAAGATTTGTGTGTGGGGCCTCTGCAGCAGCCACCCACTTGACGCTTGTTTGTTGCAGCTCTTACGAAACGATGTTTTGTGTGGCGATTCCTCACAATGATTTCAAGTTTGGGGGGTCTGCAGCTGCCTCCACACGTGGGACTATTTTGTAGCAGCCTGTCCGACGGATTTCTTTCGTTCTGCAAGATTGCCACATCATGCTCCATGTGCGACAGCTGCAACTATGTCAATGCTGGAGGCCACAGCCGACCCCCACAATTCAAACTGTTTGTGGAAGGTCGCCAAACAAGGATTATTGTGTGCAGTGGCTGGCACAAACTTGTGGCTGCCACTTCAGAAGCACCACACTTAAATTGCGGGCGGGAGATCGCCACGAACGGAATATTTTGTAAAGGTTGCTGCAGAGGGGGTTCAAGTGTGGGCATTCGCACCATAGAAAGAGCGAAAGCCACAAGTTGTGTTAGTTATGTGTTGTTGTTATATCTCCCTATGCGAGAACATATATGTGCTTTGTGTGTTCCTTGTTTGTTGCTTTTGTTATTGCTGGTGATCCGTTTCAGCTTTCTTGGGTTCAAGGCACCGCCGCTGCCGATCTCCCATGTTTGATGTTGTGTAAGGCCGCCACAAGAGAAATCCCTGTGCACAGGCTGCTACGACAGCATGTTGCGGACGCGACTACATATCCCCCACAGTTAGAATCGTATTGTAAGGCCGCCACACAAGGAATCTTTTCTGGAACATCTGCAACACAATAGTTTCGATCATGGAGGATCTGCAGAAAAGAAGCCATGTTGTGAGGCTGCCTTACATATAATCCCATTGCAAGGCCGTCGCTAGAAGAATTATCAAATAAGGCCGTCACAGGGGTCATCACAATTATGTAACAAAAACAATACATACTCAGCTGGTTACCATCGCACATCGAACAAGCAGATGGAATGCGACGAGTTTGCACATTGATGTGGGAATGCCGCGAGTAGAGGAGTATAGAAGAGCGAGGAGAACGATGAGAAGGCTACACACAAGGCCATGCAGAGTCAATTAATACATAATTTAATGAAGCATGAGCTGATGAAGACAAGTATGATGAATACACTGATGAGCGCCTGTCGTGCCAATTACGGGGCAAACCCCAAACAAAAAGCCTCGCTGTATTCCTGCAAACAGCGGGTCGGACTGGTATGGGGGGCGCAGGAGCGCGCGAAGTTTCCTGGGCCCCGCGAGGCGCGGAACGCGAAGCTGGGCGACAGACGCGCTTACAAAAGGGGCACCTTGGATCCGCTGTCTCTGGCTGTCCGCCCGCTCCTCAGATCCAGGCTCGCCGCGGCCAGGAAAGCCCCTTCGTCCCTTATTCTGCGCCCCCTCACGGTAGCACGATGATTGTGGTTATCCAGCTGTCATCATTCTTCTTCGTGTTCGTCGTCTTCGTCGTCTCCTTCTGTTTGTCGATTTTGCTAGTACTGCTGTTCGTGTGTGTTTTCTTACTCGTTTTCTTATTATCCCCTTCCCACTTGTCAATAAACAAAATCGATCGCCAGGCGTTCGCTGAGCCCTCGCGGCTCTACCAGCCCGCCCCCGCGCCTCACGCAGCGCTGGGCTCAGCGCCCGGTGCCGAGGCTGCGGAGGAACACCCCTGCTGGCGGGCCCCGGACCTCGAGCTCAGCAGGATCGAGGACGAGGCCCGACATCGTCCGACCGAGCCCTATCCCCGATTGCGACAAGAGATGAGTAATGCCGTTGGTTGGCAGTTGTGCATTGCATGTTGCTGTGTCTCGAAGAAGAAAACGCCATAAACATACTTTTGGCGCTCCGCGCGGATTTCTTGGATCCGTGCTGCCCCCCCCCCCCGGCGGCGCCTCTGGCGGGCGCCGCCCCTGGCGCGCGGAGCGCGCCAGGGAGGGGGTGTAGCGCAGATTTAAGAAATCCGCGTGCAGCGCCAAAAGTTTATGTTTATGGCGATTTTTCTGCTAGTGTCGCTCCACTATGGTGCATCATTTGCTACAGCGCGCGCGTGTGACGCGCTGGTGTCGCCGAGGCGTTGGTCACGTCGGCTTTCATGGGTCAGGTTAGCTCTGGCGCGGTGTCGACAGGGGCTGGGTCAGGTCAGGTTAGGGCTTTGACGGGTCAGGGTTCGAGGGGGGCTTGAATGGCATCTCGGCCCCGCCAGCCTGCTTACCCCAGGTGTGATATAGGTCCCGCCAGTCCCGAAGGGAGCAGCAGACGTGGCGCTCCAGAAATGGCCTCGTCTTCGAGGAGTCGAGGAGTTGTCATCCCGTCCTCGGCGGAAGGCGGCGGAGGCAGATCGAGGCTATCTCTGCCAGAGGAAGCAGGCGGAAGTGAAAGTATAGGGCGTCTGGGACGGGCATGCCTTCCCGCCGATGGGGGGGTATCGGCCGGCCCCGAGCAGGGCCGAAAGGCCCCTGCCAGGCGGGGCCGGGGAGCGGTCGAACGTTCTGCCCGGAGGCCGCAGACCTGGTCGCCCAGCTCGCGTGGTGGCGGCGGCAGCGGGAGCCCGACGAGGCGGGCGGCCCGGGCACCACCGGCGACGCAGCAGAGGCGCCCGCCGAGGAGGAGGAGGGCGAGGAGCTGGCGTCGCGCAGCGAGTGGCTGCGGCTGCCCTCCGACGGCGTCGCCGCGGCCACCGTGCCGGCGCCGGAGGCCAGGAGGAGGAACAGAACTATCGATGCACCGAGGCTCAGCCCCTCGCTCTCGTGGTCTGCTCGTGCCGCACCCAGAGAGGCCCTCGTCGCCACGGCCAGGCTCGCCTCGCGTCTCCGGCCAGAGCGCACCCCGGGAGAGGCCCTGGGAGCAGCGGCATCGGTGCCCACACTTCTGGTGTTCCAACCTGCTTGGGCCTCGATCACGAGAGAGAGAATCTCGAGCCCGCAAAGAGTACCGAAACTCGGCGGTTTTCACGTGTCGGGCCCTGGGAGGCACTCGTCCGACACTGTTTCGACGCTGTTTCGACATTTTTTCGGGCGCTCGAACATATTTCTGGGATGTGGTCCTGTCAGTACGACGGGAGCAACGTAAGCCCACACGCGCTCCCCCCTCCCCAGGAGGAGGGCGGCGCCGCTCCCCGGCCGGCGTGGCAGCTGGAGGCCTCAGGGCCACCCGCCTGGAACATACGGGCATTGCCTCCTCTCGATACCGCTCTTAAGGTTAAATCGGGCGTGTCCTTCTCCAGGTGGAAGTTATTCAAAAATAGCTTCCTGCACAACAAATCGTATGGTACGATGTTTTGAGGATGTGTTTTGCCATTTGGGGGTATTTTTTACTATTATTGATTTCTGTCGTCCAAAATCCCCCTGTACGAGGGCAGGCCCGACTTTATCTTAAGGATCCCCTGAGTTTCTGAGGGTGCATCCCTAAGATTGTCATCGCCTTTTGACTTGTCAATATCATGGATCACTAGGGATGCGTCCGAGGCTGGCTGCATAGGGGGGTCGGGCGGGGCTGGGACAAGGATGAATCCGTTCAAGGGCGCTCATGGGCGCTCCGGAACGCTTTCAGAGCTTTCCAGAGCGCTCTGAGAAGGCCGCGGCGCCCGAGACATCTCCAGCGCCACCGGAGGGGCTAGATTGGCTTCCTGAGTTGTTTGGTTGACGGTCCCCGGGCCCATCGAGGGCCCCCAGAGGCGGAAAGTTGGGACAACCTCCGTCTTGAGTTAGGTCGGGCATGTCCTCCTACAGGGCAGTTTTGGAAGAAGAAGAAGAAGAGGAAGAAGAAGAAGAAGAAGAAGCAGAAGAAAAGACAGTCAGCAAACATTCAGAGATGGTCAAACATCGTCAGAGCTTCGTCCGAAGACTAGCTTTTGCCTGTTGTGAACATTCCTCCTGCCGAGGGGCATGCCCGGCGTAAGTCTCGAGGCCCCTCGAGGCGCTGGGAGGCCTGGGGCCGATCGCCGCCCCGCCACTTTCCTTAGGAGCGGCGCCCCGCGAGGCGGTGGCCCGGGGGCCGCGCGGCCCGCCTCCCCCATTCCCCTATAGAGGCGGGAATTTGGCAGCACGACCCCTGCCCGGAGGATCAGCTTTTCGGGGACCTCGGCGGGCGGCGGGCACGGCCAGACGTTCGGGCCCCCGGGGGGCCAGCCCGTATCCGTACGCGCCGCCCGCTGGGGCACAGAGGGGGCGTCGGTTCCCGGGCGGCGGGCATGGAGAAGTCCCCGCCTCGCACCCGCCTCGGCCCGCGGGGGGGGCCTCCCCCCCAAGCCCCGCGGATTTGTCTTGTTTCGATGCTGACCCTGCGCGCTCGGGTCGCTGGCCCCCCCCCCCGCCCGCTGGCCCCGCCCCCCCCCGGAGGCCGTGCTCGGTGGCAAGCCAGGTGTGGGGAGCCTGGTGTGTGTGTGTGTGTGTGTTTGTGTGTGTGTGTGTGCCCGCTCGATCCCGCCTTCCGCGTCGACTGGCGTCGGCTAGTCGATGGGATGGCGCCGACTTGGCGTCGACATAGCGTCGGTTCAGAGTCGATTGGCGTCGGCAGATCCTGGGAGCCTGCTATGCCCCCTGGGCAGAGCTCTCGAAGCGCTGCGCCTGCCAGGGTGCCCCCCGCGGCCCGTGTGCGTGCTGCCCCCCCCCCCCCCCCCCCTGCGGCAGCGACGTGGGGCGTGGTTGCCGCTGGGGCGTGGCTTGCGATGGGCGCCGTGGGGGCCGACAGTGGGGACGCTTCGGTGGCACATCGTGGGAGCCTGGTATGCCCTCTCGATTCCGTCTTTGGCGTCGGCTGGCGTCGATGTAGCGTTTGGCGTCGATGATATGGCGCCGATGCAGCGTCGATTGGCGTCGATGTGGCGTCGATTCAGCGTCGATCTGGCGTCGATCAGCGTCGAGTCGCAGGAGCCGGCACGATGGCCACGCGCTCCTGAGCCCGCACGCTCGCACCGAGAGGGACTGCCGCGCACGATCGATCGGCCAAGCCCCCCGGAGGAGGAGGAGGAGGAGGAGGAGGAGGAGGAGGAGGAGGCTCCCATGAGTGGAGGTGCCACCGAAGCCCGCGCACCGAGAGGGCCCTTCTTGCCCGCGCCCCTCCTCGACAGCAAGCGCGCCAGTGTTTGGTTTCTCTCCGCGGCGTGGCGGCGCCGCCTCGCCCCCCAGCCGGTTCCTCAGTTATGTTCGCGGCGAGGCTTCGAAGAAGAAAAAACACACAAGCATAAGAACAATCAACAAATGTTAACCAGCACGAACACAGCAAAGCCCCAGGAGAAAACATCGAGGAAGAAAAACACATTAACATAAACTTTTGGCGCTCCGCGCGGATTTCTTGGATCCGCGCCTGGGCTCCCCGGCGGCGCCTCCGGCGCCGCCCCTGGCGCGCTCCGCGCGCCAGAGAGGGGAGTCCAGCGCGAATCCAAGATATCCGCGCGGAGCGCCAAAAGTTTATGTTTATGTGATTTTCTCTTCTAAAATTGGCGACCGGATGTTTGTGTTCGGACCCCGCGGCCCGCGCTGCGCGCGGCGATGAACACTGAAATTCGGGGCGGGGGGGTTGGAGAAAAACCTGCGCTCGACTTCGAGGAGGGTTGTAGGGTCACTCCTGCGTGTAGCCGAACATCGGCGGCGAGCGGGGGGGGAGGAAGTGGGAGGGTGGATGCCTTCTCCAAAGGTGGCGGGGCTTCTCTGAAGCCCTCCGACCTTCCGAGAAGTCTTCTGTGTACTCGGGGAAAGTTCGCAAACATTTTTCAGAAGGCCAGAGGACTTTCGAGCCTTCTGAGAAGGCCCGCCCCCTCTCGCTTCCCCTCCAGGCGCGCCGCCGAGAACAAGCCTGGAGTCGGGCATGTCCCTCTACGGAAGGAATGTTCCAGAGCAGTCAAAACATAGCCCGGGGACGATTCCTCGGCTTTTTTAGGGATTATTCCTTGGGGTATACGTTTGGTGACTTTCTGATGTGATCCTTTCTCTTCCGAACCCCGCCTGTAGGAGGACACGCCCGACCCCCGAGACGAGCCGCCCCGTCGGAGATCGGGACGCGCGGCCCTCGGCGAGGCCGCCGCCGCCGCCGCGGCGGCGCTCCCGCTGCCCGGCGCGGGCGCCCGGGCTCCCGCCGGCGCGGCGCCGCCGGGCGCCGCCGCCGCCGCCGACGAGCGCGCCGCGGGAGGCCTGCCGCGGCCCGGCCGCTGCAGGGCCCCAGAAAGCTCGTCGACAGGGGGAGAAACACACGGACACGAGGAATCGTCGATTCCCAGAAAACTCGGGAAAAATGTAGGAAGAGGGGGGGAGACAAAAACCCGGGAAATATGGGAAACTACAGGGGAATCCGGTTATTTGTGTCTATTTATTTGTGTCCCAGGGCCCCTTCAAAAAAGCTGCGCCTCGGCGCATCCCTCCGCGAAGCTTGCAGCGGGGGACCCATGCCAAGAATAGTTTGCACCCTGCTTGCCTCCAAGGGTGCCCTGGGCTTCGTGGGTCTCGGCGGTGCTGCTATGGGGAGCGGGACGCTTAACGCAGGTTTTTCCCTCGCCGCGTCGGCGCCCCCAGACCCCAAATGTCAATGTGGAAGCCGGAGCACACGACTCGAAGTGACTTGACAAGTTTGCCGTCGGCGTCCGCGGACCGCGCCGACCGCGCTGCGGAACATTGAAGTCGGGGCGAGGCGAGGGGGGGTCGGCAAAGCTTGCGTTCAGTTTCGCGGAGGGGATCGGAACCCAGAACGCCCAGTGGGCGACTACCTCGGGATCGAGGTCCGAGGTTTTCGGGCGTTCTCGTCGGTTCCCGGAACCAGGGTTCGAGGGCTTCGGGCGTTCTCGTCGACTCCGGGCCCCAGGATTGTAGGCCTCCCAAGGGGATGCGGCTCGATGTGGAGCCAGAATTTCTCCACGCCGATGGCGCCGATGCATCGCCGACATCGACGGTGCATCGCAGATGCATCGCCGATGCATCGGGGATGCGGCGCGACCCTCCAACACCATCATACACCATCCACTTGGGCCCCACCTGGGAGGCCTCTAAGAACGTCGGCACGATCAAAACCTGCAGACGTCCAACGAGCTGTCAAAAGGCAAGGCGGAGGTTCTTCGCCGTTGTCGAGGTCTGGGGGCCCTCGCCGGGCCCCGGGGCAGTCAATCAACTACCTGGGGCGAGGCACCGGTTTCCCAGAAGCGGTCCAGAGCTGCGGGGGCCCTCACGTTTCGATCCAGCTCGGAAATTGCCGCAGGGAGATGGGGTGGGTCCAGGAGAGTGTTTCTTTCTTGCTTGGGGCGCAATGGGAATTATAGCCCCCGGCCCCCCCCCCTATAACGTAACGCCCCTCCCCCCACAGTGCGCTCTGGGCACTGCCGCCTTGCGCACGGCAAGGGGGGAGGCGTTACATTATTCCCCCCCTGGGCCCCTCCCCCCCCTTATAATGCCCCTTATCGCCGAAAATGGAGAAACGCGCTCCAGGGCTCCAGTCGTGACTTCCCGCGATGCTTCAGTCTTGTCGCAACGTCGGATCTCAGGGTTCATGCGCTGGGCAGGCAGGCCTGCAAGGCTCGTCCAGAAGAGATGTACGTTTTTTTTTTTTTTTTTTTTTTGTTTTCGGCGCTTTGCGCGGTCGGCGCTGCTACGCGCAGGGGTGTCCCCGAAATCCGGCAGTTCCCTCGCAGCACTGAAGGACGCGTCGTCGGACGAGTGCCCGAGCTATCGGGCGCCTCGATTTCGAACGGCGTTTCAAGTTGTAGTTCTGACGGGGCTTGCAGGGGGATCTCCGTGAGTCTTGGGTCGGGCCTGTCCTCTTACAGGCGGATTTTGGAAGCAAAATTCAACTCAGTCAAACAATAGCCAAACAGAGTCAAAAGAGAACGAACAATCGTCCCCATAGGATTTGTGGAGTCTATCCTTGCATACTGGTCCTGCAGAAGGGGCATGGCCGACTTGACGTCAGCCGCTCGAGAACGGTCCGGAGCGCTCCGAAAGCACCTCGGAGGGCCCCGGGCCCGGCCGCGCCGCCCGATCCCCCCCCCGCCAGACGCGCACCGGCTCAGAGAGGGAGGCGGGAGCTCCAGGAGGCGCCCCCCAAAACTCTCGCGGACGTCGTCTGCTATGCATCGTCGCGGTCGCTACGGTGAGTCGTTACGAGGCGTCGTCGTCGTCGTCGTCGTTACGATGCGTCGTCGACGTTGCGCTACGTCGTC